TATACGTTCCCTTCATAAATTTGCTCAAAATCATATATTTTATGAGCTACAAGCAGGGGATATTTATTTTTTATTTTATTCATCTATAATAACCATACCATCGTATAGAGATTTGAAAAAGAAACAGAAGCTATTAAGTTTGAAGCTCTCGTTCACTTGGTAAAATTCAGAGATATGGCCCTTTGAAAATCGGTCATTTGGAACATCTTCCGTCATTACTCATTGGCATCACTTTCCATAACCTCACATCAAACATGTCCTAGTCAAAAAATGTACCCTCTACAACTTTCACTACACATACATCTCACATTCATATAGTAATTTAAAATGTTTTACTAGCAGCATCTATTCAAAATGACCTATTTTCAAAAATCTCCCATCTCTCACCAACCATGCTACCTACGCAAATTTGAATTGCACCATCGTCATCTCGGCAAAAAACTGATATAAGAACATGCTACTTTCAAAGCTCTAGCATCACTTTTTTCAAAAATCGATGTTCGATCGTCCAAAAGTTGAAAACCTCAAAATTAAAAACATTTTGTACATCCAGGTCCTCATAGGTAAAAAAATTAGAATCCCATCAAGCTTAAATATGTTGTAGAATAATGATATTAGAGCAACTTCTTAGTGGGAACATTATATTGGAAACCTCTGTTTCATGAGATAATCCACATTGGAGATGCTATTTTTAAGCGGGGGAATATGCATACCTTAAATTGCAAATCTTATTATTATCGAACAAAGCAAGCCACAACTGTCTAGTCTTAAAAGCAAAATTCTCCAACATGTTACGTATCTATTGATAACTTGAAACCAGTAAGTTAATATGGCCCTTTTCGTACGCTCCGATTTTTAAAATTCTCGGTCAAATTCATACTCATGTAGTGTACACGTGCAGAAGGTCAACGGAGCTTCAATTTCTATTGTTCTGAATGTTGATCCATAGGATTCCGAATTTAATTACTAGCAGCATCTATTCAAAATGACCTATTTTCAAAAATCTCCCATCTCTCACCAACCATGCTACCTACGCAAATTTGAATTGCACCATCGTCATCTCGGCAAAAAACTGATATAAGAACATTGCTACTTTCAAAGCTCTAGCATCACTTTTTCAAAAATCGATGTTCGATCGTCCAAAAGTTGAAAACCTCAAAATTAAAAAACATTTTGTACATCCAGGTCCTCATAGGTAAAAAAATTAGAATCCCATCAAGCTTAAATATGTTGTAGAATAATGATATTAGAGCAACTTCTTAGTGGGAACATTATATTGGAAACCTCTGTTTCATGAGATAATCCACATTGGAGATGCTATTTTTAAGCGGGGGAATATGCATACCTTAAATTGCAAATCTTATTATTATCGAACAAAGCAAGCCACAACTGTCTAGTCTTAAAAGCAAAATTCTCCAACATGTTACGTATCTATTGATAACTTGAAACCAGTAAGTTAATATGGCCCTTTTCGTACGCTCCGATTTTTAAAATTCTCGGTCAAATTCATACTCATGTAGTGTACACGTGCAGAAGGTCAACGGAGCTTCAATTTCTATTGTTCTGAATGTTGATCCATAGGATTCCGAAATCTATCGACCTTCAAATTACGCGTTTCTTGATAGTAAACACCCCTTCAAACTTATATGAAACTTGTAGAGAATTCAAAGGAAAATACAATGGTATTTGTTTCAAGCCTCTGGTGTACATTGTTTACCTGATATCTGGTACGATTGTTTTTGCAATTTTTTGACTGTTTTCAAAAGATTAAATTAGTATCTGTCATCAAAACATTTTGTTAAGCATTACTAAACATTGTAGGCCAAAAAATTTCCTATCAAATGAGCTATCGCTTGAAGCTCTGGCATGGCTCTATCATGAAATATTGGACAATCATGTTCCTGACCAAAAAAATCGTCACCAGATTTTTTGCTTGCTATCACACGTAAGATTCTGAAGGAAAAAACAATGATTTTGCATGATATCCTTTTTTGACCATATCTCGACAAATACTCACTGGATTCGCACAAAACAAAGACATTTGATAGCTCTACATTATATCCATTATAATATAATAGTTTCAAGTACCAGATATACGTTCCCTTCATAAATTTGCTCAAAATCATATATTTTATGAGCTACAAGCAGGAGGATATTTATTTTTTATTTTTCATCTATAATAACCTACCATGGCCCTTTGAAAATCGGTCATTTGGAACATCTTCCGTCATTACTCATTGCATCACTTTCCATAACCTCACATCAAACATGTCCTAGTCAAAAAATGTACCCTCTACAACTTTCACTACACATACATCTCACATTCATATAGTAATTTAAAATGTTTTACTAGCAGCATCTATTCAAAATGACCTATTTTCAAAAATCTCCCATCTCTCACCAACCATGCTACCTACGCAAATTTGAATTGCACCATCGTAAAAAATCGTCACCAGATTTTTTGCTTGCTATCACACGTAGATTCTGAAGAAAAAACAATGATTTTGCATGATATCCTTTTTTGACCATATCTCGACAAATACTCACTGGATTCGCACAAAACAAAGACCATTTGATAGCTCTACATTATATCCATTATAATATAATAGTTTCAAGTACCAGATATACGTCCCTTCATAAATTTGCTCAAAATCATATATTTTATGAGCTACAAGCAGGGATATTATTTTTTAAACCATTAGAGATTTGACAAAAAAACAGAAGCTATTAAGTTTTGAAGACTACTCGTCACTCTTGGTAACTAAATTCAGAAGGATATGGCCCTTGAAAGTCGGTCAGTTTGGGAAACATCTTCCGTCATTACTCCATTGGCATCCACTTTCCATAACCTCACATCAAACATGTCCTAGTCAAAAAAATGTACCCTCTACAACTTTCACTACACTACATCTCACATTCATATAGTAATTTAAAATGTTTTACTAGCAGCATCTATTCAAAATGACCTATTTTCAAAAATCTCCATCTCTCACCAACCATGCTACCTACGCAAATTTGAATTGCACCATCGTCATCTCGGCAAAAAAACTGATATAAGAACATGCTACTTTCAAAGCTCTAGCATCACTTTTTTCAAAAATCGATGTTCGATCGTCCAAAGTTGAAAACCTCAAAATTAAAAAAACATTTTGTACATCCAGGTCCTCATAGGTAAAAAAATTAGAATCCCATCAAGCTTAAATATGTTGTAGAATAATGATATTAGAGCAACTTCTTAGTGGGAACATTATATTGGAAACCTCTGTTTCATGAGATAATCCACATTGGAGATGCTATTTTTAAGCGGGGGAATATGCATACCTTAAATTGCAAATCTTATTATTATCGAACAAAGCAAGCCACAACTGTCTAGTCTTAAAAGCAAAATTCTCCAACATGTTACGTATCTATTGATAACTTGAAACCAGTAAGTTAATATGGCCCTTTTCGTACGCTCCGATTTTTAAAATTCTCGGTCAAATTCATACTCATGTAGTGTACACGTGCAGAAGGTCAACGGAGCTTCAATTTCTATTGTTCTGAATGTTGATCCATAGGATTCCGAAATCTATCGACCTTCAAATTACGCGTTTCTTGATAGTAAACACCCCTTCAAACTTATATGAAACTTGTAGAGAATTCAAAGGAAAATACAATGGTATTTGTTTCAAGCCTCTGGTGTACATTGTTTACCTGATATCTGGTACGATTGTTTTTGCAATTTTTTGACTGTTTTCAAAAGATTAATTAGTATCTGTCATCAAAACATTTTGTTAAGCATTACTAAACATTGTAGGCCAAAAAATTTCCTATCAAATGAGCTATCGCTTGAAGCTCTGGCATGGCTCTATCATGAAATATTGACAATCATGTCCTGACCAAAAAATCGTCACCAGATTTTTTGCTTGCTATCACACGTAGATTCTGAAGAAAAAACAATGATTTTGCATGATATCCTTTTTTGACCATATCTCGACAAATACTCACTGGATTCGCACAAAACAAAGACCATTTGATAGCTCTACATTATATCCATTATAATATAATAGTTTCAAGTACCAGATATACGTTCCCTTCATAAATTTGCTCAAAATCATATATTTTATGAGCTACAAGCAGGGGATATTTATTTTTTATTTTATTCATCTATAATAACCATACCATCGTATAGAGATTTGAAAAAGAAACAGAAGCTATTAAGTTTGAAGCTCTCGTTCACTTGGTAAAATTCAGAGATATGGCCCTTTGAAAATCGGTCATTTGGAACATCTTCCGTCATTACTCATTGGCATCACTTTCCATAACCTCACATCAAACATGTCCTAGTCAAAAAATGTACCCTCTACAACTTTCACTACACATACATCTCACATTCATATAGTAATTTAAAATGTTTTACTAGCAGCATCTATTCAAAATGACCTATTTTCAAAAATCTCCCATCTCTCACCAACCATGCTACCTACGCAAATTTGAATTGCACCATCGTCATCTCGGCAAAATCGGGGCTCCAAATTTTTAGGAACTCCGTCATCGGGGTTTCAAAAGCCTTGTTTTGATTGGTCTGTTTCTCTTCCCTATTTTGTGGAGTTATATTGGTTATATGAATAAGTATCATTGCAAGAAGTTTAGATGGAAGTGAAGCAGATATGTAGATTGCAATATACAAGATTAACGATATTGAAGTTTACAAATACACTGTACATCAGTAGTAGTTTTGGATCTGGAAAAAGGATTTCATGGGCACTGTTACATGTGCAAATGCTGCGTTGCGAGAAACTTTGATGTTTAGATAGCAGAAGCTGTAGTAGGAATTGATTGTTTACAGCTCATGTACAATTTATAGCAAAGCAATTGCCTGTAGCTGTGTTTGTTCAAAAAAACCATGGTTTCAACCATTTTCACATTCATATTGTCATTTTAAATAAACAGCATGATTGACTTGACAAAACAGCCAGTGTAATCATTGCTCAGCAAACTGGGGTCTTTATTATATCCATTCAGGTCTCCATTGAGGTATTTATTTTACCCTAGTGCAATGAAAAACATTAGCGTACAATTGCCTTGTCTCTCTTGAAACATCTAACTTACATAATTAACATATTCAGGGGTCTCGCAAGCTTCGTACTCGTCGATTAGCTCTTGCACCACACGACGAGAATCATCAAACTCCTCTAGATCATCAGCAAACATGGCATGTTTTCTGTACTGTTCCAAGAATGCATTCCTTTTCCTTAATTTATCATATTGGTCGCATGTACGTTTGAACAAAGAGGCAATACTTGTGTGGTTTGCCAGCATGAGTCCACTCACACGATGAGGTGTCTGAACATAGGGTGATTTTTTGGAAAGTGCGACCTGAATACTAGCTGGTCCCCAAGGTATAAATGATGCTAATCTTCTCTCACGGATACGCAGCAAGGACTTATGCACATCGGTAGGGTCTGCTTCACCTTGAATAATGTCTAATACTGAAATGTAGCAACTGCGCTTCGATGGCATTGTGCTGACCATTCTGTTCTTGGGTTGTAGTAATCTTCTCATCACATCCAAGACAGTAGTTTTGCGGATTGATTTGGCCTATAAATAACAAGAGAAAATCAGTCAAGAGACAGTATAATACTGTGTATTCATGCGAACCTTTTCCACTTGCTCACTAGAGAATGGTGTGTACGCCGTTGTTAAGAAATGACATCTCGGTGTAGGGATCAACGAAGCAACGATACTGACGAGATCGTTATTCATGTAGCCTGGATATCGCAGTGTGGATGTGCTTGCTGACATGACTGTAGACACTAACTGATTTGTTTGCTCGAACGTGGGTTGTTGAATGTGTAATCGATCGGTTGCAATACGCGATAAAGCTGCATTATCGAGAACGACTACGCTGTCCGCATTGTTTGTCAATCTCTTCAATGCAAGCATGCTGTTGTAAGGTTGAACTACTGTATCGGATACCTCAATCGAATCAGGGAATACGGAGTATGTCTGTATCAATTTCTTTGGGTAGCGATCATTGAGTCTTTCCAGTAGAAATGAACCTAAACCAGATCCAGTACCGCCAGCAATTGAGTGGAGTAGCATGAATCCCTATTGTAAAGATGTTAGTGGCAGCTACAGTAATCACTTTGCCAGCTGCACGTTACCTCTAATGAATCACTGTTGTCTGCTTCTCTGTCCACCATGTCCATAATATCTTCAGACATCTTTTCAGCTTGTGTGTATCCATTTGGCCAAATGTTCCCTGCTCCTCCACCATCTTTTGACGTGAATATATTCTCAGGGTTGTATAGGTTGGCAAATGGCGACGCTTTAATATTATCAATGACCTAGACAAATATCCATAATGAGATGGGTTGACAAGCAATCGACTGAATTTGTGATACGTACTCTAGGCTCAAGATCCAACAACAATGCACGAGGAATATAATGCTCATCATCAGCCTAACACAGCAATACCTTTAGTCATCAGTGAATGCATACGACAATTTCGACATACCTGATAGAAGAACACATCCTTTCGGTCACCGCCTTCTGTGGCAAACTCTTCCAAGGTTCCGTCATTGCTGATGCCATGCTCAGAACAGATTTGTCTCCAAAACTCACTTCCAACTATAAACATCTGCGATTAGCAATGTAACAGAGCACCAAACACTGTATGCTACCTACTTTGGTTTCCACACTGTCCGGCTTGCAAGGTAATTATTTCGCGTGGCATTGCAATGAATGATGATAAAGTTCAAAAGACACAAGGATTATAATGAATATGTTTTCCTGCCTTTATTTCTAGACACCATTTGATGTTACGTGACGCGTTTAAAGGTTCAGCAAACCATATCGTTACTGAATATCAACTATCGAGGCAAGTTATCTGTTTAATATGACAAAGAAAGACAGGAGTGATGCTCAGTTTTACTCATTGCAAGCGTTCGGTCTTATTGTAGTATTGGCCAGAGTGTTGCTTGGTTCGGCATTGATCAAGGATGAGCATGGTGGTATAGGCATAACGCTACTTTTTCAATCGGTGTGTTTATTTGAGGTTTTAATATATTACAAAGCGAATGCTCAAACTATAAAGAGAGAACATGTTCTAAAAAAAATTTACAGTCTTAGTTCTTCTTTTCAGTCAAATTATTTTGATAATCATGCAAACGAAGCAAATTGCGCTCCAACATGGCTACAGTGACTTTGCCAACAGAAGGAACAAAGATGGAAGCCTTCGACTTGATGTCATCTTCAAAGTTAGCAGAGGATGAAAAGTTGATGGCAACAACACCATCCTTCAATAAAGAAGTAGGCATCTTGTACTTGGGTGTGGGTACGCCAGTGATGACAACATCACATTGAGGTATAACTTCTTCAACGGTAGCATCAATGTCCTCTACTTGATGGCGAGCCAACTTGATACCAGTACCACGAGTAAAGAGTTGGATGCCATTGACATCCACAGAGAAGACTTTGGCACCATCGTTAGAAAGCATGGCGGCTAAAGGACGACCAACAATTTCACTGCGATTGATCACAGCAATTGTGCGGCCATATAGACGGTTACCGTAAGGAATAACGGGATTGTAAACACCAATATACTCGAGGATCTATAAATCAATTATAGATTAATCACACAAGATCAGATATTCTACACCAAAAGAGAACTTACTTTGACACAGGCAAGGGGAGTACAAGGAATGATACACTTCATAGTCTCAGTGTCATCCATGAAACGAATGTTGTGATATACATTGTGCACAAATTTGTGACAGAGACCCTCAACATCCTTGAGCTCGCTGACACAGCTTTGGAGATACAAATCTTGCTTTCCACCGAAAACAGGGTAGTACACCATGATACCGTTGACAGACTTATCTTCATTGGCTTCTGTGATCTTTCCTTCCAACTCCAACTTGGTGACCTTACGAAGCTCGAATTCAACGCCAGTTTCAGCACATGTTTTTGCGGTCCATTCAGCATATTTCATAGCAGCAGGATCTTCATTAGCGAGGAAACCAACCAACTTTGGTCTGATGTTGCGCTCTTTGATATCTTCCTTGATTTGGTTTCTACAAGTCCATGGTATTTCAGTTTCTACATGTCCACCCCTTCCATATACTGTACAGCTTACCTGAAAGAAGCAGAAACCTTTGAAGCGAGAACGGTCTTACAAGACATGTTGAGTGATGCAGTCAAAGCAGTTGAGAGGATATGGGATGAAAAAAGAAGAGGTCTATCAAGAAAATTCGGAGATGCTTTTAAATCTGGGGAATTTCGCTGAAAAGCAGTCTAAATGGCCCATCAAAAGATATGAGTCTTTCCTTTATTGACATGCAATTATCACTGCAAATGGACAAAAGAAGCCAAGATCTCCGCCAGCGAAATCTATTCATCTGCATCCAAATGAATGACAGGAACGCAGTTCTGTGAGGCGTTGACTAAATTGACCAGCTCAACTCTTTGATTCAAACGTTTTTGCCGTCTTTCTAATGCACCTTCATACAAATCCATGCCGGTTTCTGTTTGAGGAATCACTTTGGGTATGATGACAGGCACGTTTTCGCTGTCCACTGCTGTCACAGTAAAGAATCCGTCGTTTGTGAATTTGGTCTCTCCTGTCAATACGTTTTCTATGGCCAAAATTCAGTTGCATGAATCAACGGACTACCGGGATGTTAAATCCAACATTTGCTTACCTGCTTCTACACTGACATATACCTCCATTGACGAATGGAACGACCGTGAAACTAGAGATCGCACAGTAACCACATCACCCACGCCAGAACTTGCTATAAAATTGAGACTATCGATGCTATAGGCATGAAATAAGTAAGATGGTGGGTTGCATTTGGGTGGAGTGTGAGTCAAATCAATTGATGTGACTCATTCGACACTCCGCATTCTTCCTGCAAGATTTACCTGGCTGTCAATAAATAAGCTTTGGCCAATCTATTGGCGCTTGCTATGGCACAGATTTCCATCCAAGCCATGATTTGCCCTCCAAAGGTAATTTTTAAGGTATTTGCATGCTGAGGCATCACCAATTCAACAACTTCTGCAAATGTATAATCCATAGGCCGTTCCTTAACTTGCTGCAACATCCTTGGATCCTGCGAGAATCTTCTTCCTCGTTTTCTCGCTTTCAATATGATATTTTCTTCCTCCGCGTCAGATATTCCTTCAGACACTGGCGATGGTTGCTCTGAAGAAGCAAAATATCCTGGATGTCGTTTAATTGGAGCGTCTGCATCAGCCTTCTCTCGTAGTCCTTGGGACCATTCTCGCATCAACTCTCGGATTTGGCTGTGGTCTGGCTTTTTCTGTCTGAATCTAGCTTGCCGTCTAGTTTCTGCCATCTCGAATCGCTTAATCTCCATTGGGGATGTTGGTAATAGTTCAGGTACGGCAATTGTTTGGAATCCAGAAAGAATTCGGCCCAAATGTGTTTTTGCCTCTGGGCGTGGCGAGAGTGCTACAAAGCTCAGATAGCAATGTGCAACAAAAAATCGTTCATGCGACAGTGGTGATTCGGCTTCCACCTTGACACCAACCTCCATTGATGTTTTCCATGATTTGTTGACAGACGCTTGAATTGTTACCTGGATTTGGGCTGTTAGCACCTACATCTCACAAAAGAGATCGGCATTACATACTATATCACCAACTTTGACAGGATGCAGAAATGCGACATCGTCAACAGATCTAGTTACCTAAGAGCCTGTTATGAATACTCTCCTTTTATCGAGCATGCTCTCTCGTCTTCTTACCGATGGAGATACAGCATGTCTTTTTGCTGCTATTCCTGCAGCAATATCGATCCAACTGAGAATTGTACCAGCGTAAGCGTATCCCTATTTGGACAGTTCCTTGATGACGACCAGCTCAAGTACACCCTATTTGGTATCTTACCATCATGTTGCATTGTGCAGGAGAAACGATCTCAGTCATAGTAACACGGCTAACGTGCGCTGGCTTCCTATCTACACGAACATTTCCTGCCTCTGTATAGGGATCAGGGAGTAATCGTTGGAATACAGGTTGCGTTACAAACATAACACTCCTTATCCACATGGAACGAACAGACTCAAATGCTGAATCATATAACGAAGTTGGCATCTTGGATCTATAGTTAAGTAAAGAAAAGAGAGAACACGAATTAAAAAAATCGTTTTGCATCGCTTTAAACTAAATGTGAGCCGCAATTTTAAATTTACATCCCTTTTATTTATTTTTTTTCCCACTGCAGGTCAACTAATCATCTTTTGATTTGAAGCGTTGTAAGTAGCGCAAGTAAAGCATGTAGCATCAATGATAGTCAAAGTGAGATGAACAATATGCTGTTTTTTTTTGTGCATAATTTGGTACCCAAGAGATGGCTTGCAAGTGATAGGATCAGCTTTCCTGTTGTGTCGGGTAGTCCTTTGCTTGAGCACAAGCATTGTCTAAATGCTAATCCATCTAGATTTTGTTAGATAGAACGGAGCATTGTCTTGTTGGGCATTGAAATAGGTGAGATACAGAAACAAAAACTGCGCAAACACTCGGCCAAGAATCCCAATTGAAATGATGAGCAAGGTCTGAAAATAAGGTATATTCAGGTAAACTTGACAGCAAATTTGTATGAGTGCTTAGATCTGTCGAATGAGGTAATATAGCTACCTGATAGTGCCTCGGTGTTGGATGCCAATACAATGATACCGACAAGCCAGGAATACTCCAGTTGCTTGTAATCCCAAATTACCATCAAAATCAATAGCATCTTTCCAAAACTTGAGATGATCAGTGCCATGGAGACATAGTTGTGTCTAGAATGCTTATTAGTTTTCTCTCTGTCAGACCGTCTGCAAATCCTACATACCTTATTCTCTTGTTTTGGTTACGAAAGTAGACTCGAATTGCTAAATTAATGCAACAGTGAAAGACGATAAACTCTATGGTTGCTGTGATAAGAATGTGTACACTGGCTGTGATCCATGTCATGAGTTACCAAAGATGCAAAGTGTCAAGATATACAGATACTGGTAATAAAGCGGTTGTTCTATGAACTTTGTATCATAGTCGGTATAATATCGCTCGAGTCTAAACCACTTGATGTCTAACATTTCTTTAGTTTGACACAGAGCATTAAGCAACATTATACATACAAACTTCAAACAGAATCAGCAATATAGCAAATCGAAACACATGCGGCTACAAGGCAAGCTGTTAATGAGATGCAGGAACACGTCGTTTACAAGCCTACTTCTACTCCATCTTGCTCTGTAATTCTATTAAACAGCAGATGTCTATATACTTGAGGTTTGTGCAGAAGCATATCAATGAATATAATAACAAAATCATGCTCAATATATTTGTCTGCAAAATTATTGCATTGATCCTGTATTAAAGATTGTTAATAGCTGTGCGTCATGTATTCTATCATGTGCTCTCTTACACATGTTGTAAGCCGTATATTATCTTTGCTGTACTGGGTATATAAGTTGACGACAGATGAACCGCATTCTACACAAGTGCTCATGATTGAGGAAGAAGTGCTTCACTTGAAATTGGAAACTTTTTGCTTCATAAATTCACACTTGGTGCACCACTACGATATCATCATTGCCACCAATCGCACCAAGATGCAATAACAACTCAACTGGTTCCGCTCCCAACACATTCAGTGTGGTACGGTTGTAGGTAAAAAGTCTTGCAGCTCTCAGATGTATGCTCACAAATCTTCAATAAAATTATTGCAACAAAGGTGCCATATGTCATGATTTATTCAATAGCACAATTAGCGACATAATGACATGAGAAGCAAGACTTATAAACAAGCTTTTATATAGATTTTGCGAGCATTGTTTGTTGTTTTTACAGTGACTGTACCATGGCTTTCTGCGAAGGATTCAACTAAGCGGTCTACATTCTCTGATTTACGCTTATAGCAGTGGGTTATGCATGTAGGACACGTCCTGAGCAAATTTCTTACAAAGCCTTTGTTCTTGAAGAGCAGCCATTCAGTCGCATGAACGGTACCTGTCGTGAGCTGAACAGTTTGAATGCGTGGAAACTTGTAAATGAGGTATTCCAGTAGGTCGGAGCGAACGTGAGCTCCAAATCTCAATGCCCTCATACTATGTACTTTTTCAACATTGTTTCTACTGGACCACCAGTGTACAGAGCTTTTGTCCAACACAATAGGATCACTGAAACGAACATTTATATCCAATTCCGTTAGATTTGAGCATCGCTTCAATATAGTGTCTGTCAAAGTGATGTTGTAAATGTCTCCAACCAAGGTCAACGACTTCAATTTCTCAATTTCTTCTAGACAATAAACGAGATTCCAATCAATAGGAATATTGTTGAAGTTCAGTATCAATTCTTGAAGCGTATGTTTGAAACCGAGCACTGCATTCATGTATATCTGGTTATAATTGATTGGCATAGGTAGCATCTTGATTTTTGCGATTGGATGACGCGAGTTTCTCAGTAGCTGAATCAGCTTCTTGTATATGACATCCAAACCAACAATGCCATCTACTATCTCTGTCTCGGGAGTGATAGCTAAGCTTAACAGATTAAGGAAAGCCCTGCCGTTTGTCTCTGTTGGATGTGTTGCCACGATTGTTAAATGCTTTATATGCTGAGCCATGTGTGGTTTCTGTTTAAGATATCTGTATAGCTTCCAAGCGTGAAATTCTGTTCTGATTCTTATTTGCGCAGTCAACATGGCAACCTCTGCGAACGAGTTCCAAGCTTTGCAAACCAATCTACACTTGCCAAGATCAGCAGGCCTGTTGATGTGGTTGATGATAAGACACCGCAGCTCTGTAGGTAATATATCCATAGTAATGTACTGTTGTTGAAAACTAAAAAGAAAGAAAGAGGGAGAGAAAATGCTGCGTAAGATTAAACTGAAATCAAAAGAGTAGACAATACACATGCAAACATGCACATACACCCACACACACACACACACACACAAAAAAACATGCAGGTCAAGAGTAGGTTCATTACTTTCAGATTATCAATTGATGATTAGTTTGCGTTACCAACAGTATTTGATTTAACGAGCTTTAGCTTTGTTTGGGTATCAATACATTAGGGAAATAGCAAGTTGCCTTTGCAACCAAGTTGTCTATACAGTATTAGTTTATTTACGGGGATTGTTATTTGCACCACCATTTTTATTTGGTCTTTTTTGAATTATCGAATTTACTTCAACTAAAATGCATGGTTTGATAGATGGTAAAGACATTATGGCTCAATCCATCGACTTTCACGAAACGAGTGTGTTTTGACATTATCAATTGCCACTTAACGGAAATCGTAATTTTAGAATGGTAAAACAAGCAATACCCAAACATATCGTTTCATGCTTGTAGTCATTACGATACTTTTTATTATAAATAGTATAATGAAGGTATACCTGCAAAGACTAGTCAATGAGGGCATCAAAGAGGTAACATCGCAAGGAATTGCAAGAGTTGGTACATTGACGCAGTTTTTTTTTACCGTAGAATGAACAACGCGTGATATCCAATATATAGCTTATAGTAACGCGGGCAATCAAGGATTGCTACTCATCGACATCGCTCTCAGCAAGCTCAAATCACTTACACTCTAGTCAGAGCAACGTGCCCTCAGCATCCTTTTTGCTTACACTGATATCAAACAAAGCCTATTATTGAGACAATGCGAAAGAAAATTCAGGTTTTATGCAGCATCTGTACATTACAATCGTCATTTTCTGATAATAGAATTGGTGTATCATTCACCGCTGTTGATGCTCTTAATAAGATGGTGACATAAAGCTGGTCAAAAGTAAATACAGGACTTGTGTAAGATCTACAGCGATATTTTGAGATATTGTCATTGCAAAAGACACCTTTATTATAGGAAAAAACTCTCAAGAAATAAAGAAGTATTCGAGCTAAGCAGTTTTCCTTTCAACTACATGATTCCCATTTAATCAGCTTCGCAATCATCATTGTCATCATTAGAAAGGCATTTAGGTCAGCCAGCAGCAAGTAGCCACCAAAATTAATTTAAGCTCAGTAAATTTTTATCTGTTCAAGATTGGACAGATTTTGTCTTTTCTCGACTTTTTTCATCTATTTTGTGATATTCGACTATATAAACTATGATGATCACCCTATGCTTTCTAATACATTCTTGGAGTACTTTTCAAAGCGTTTCCAATGGTTCTAACTGTAATAAGGGTTTTGACTGAGATTTTTGAGTAATTTGGTAAAATATGAAATGAGGTTTTTAGCGAAAATAGCCAGATTTTGCATATGAAAACCTCATAAAAGTGGTTTCAGAGGTTGCTTTGGATTGAGAGAAACGTTTTGATTTGATATATACCATAGCAAAAGGCTTCATTTTCAAGGTGAAAAATGCGATCGTTTGATTTTCGATGAAAATCATGAGGTACCCCTCATGGTTCTTGGTCGATTTTTGGCCACGTTTCTTTTTGGCTCAAAAAGTTGAGCAAAGGTGTCAGGAAGTTACTACTACTCAAGTACAATCGTTTGGCGTCATTCCGGTGGCTCATAAAACTCTACATGCCAAGATACGAAGGCTTGAAAGTTGTCAAATTTGGTTATGTTTTGCTTTATAGCTTTATTTACATGGCATGAATCACATCTTTGATAGCTGAAGTCTTCTGGAAGAGTAGTTCTACACCCTGTGCAAATTCTAATTTGAATGGAAGGCATATTGATTTCGGTAAAGCTGATTCATGCAAATTTTGATGCGACATGCTGCTGGTAAGCTTATTAACAAGGGAAATGAAAACCCGAACTTGCTGCTTGAATATTATGGTTTTGCATCTTCGCCTTGCTATGGTAAAACCCTCTTATAGGTCAATATTACCAAATGTTGAATTAGAAGCAACCTCGTTACGCTCGATGACGGTGTCGCTCTGCGGGCTGTCACCGTAGACATTTCAAAGCAGTAATAATATAAATATGCTATATCAATAGATTTTAAACAATCCGTTATTAATAAAGGAGATGAGAAATCAAATTCGCTGCTTAGATACTATGGTTTTGCATATTCGCTTCGCAAAAATTAAGCCCTCGTATAGATCAATGCTATCAAATGCTGGATTAGATGCTTAGTTGTCATAGGTTTTGCACCTTTGCTTCGCTACGGTAAAACCGTCATTAAAACCAATGCTATCAAGTATTGGATTCAATACCTAATTACCATGGCTTTGCATCTTTGCTTCAATATGATAAACCCTCTCTATAAACCAATGCTATCTAGTGTTGAATTAGATGCGTTATGTTCTTCCCCAAACTCCTTCTCCAATGCCGGCTTCGCTGGTGGTTTTATTGACCTTGTACGGCACACAATTCTACAAGATTTTGAAAGGATATGATTGGATTCTCTAATTTTTTGAATGTTTTGCAGTATATATTAGATACCATATTGTTTTTTTTTGATCGAAAGGTCAAAACCATTATCACTACTACTTAAGCTTCAGCTGAACATGATGTGCACCTCAATGCCTGAGTTTGAAACGTCGATCCACACAAATAAGGAAATTTACCCCTGAATCAATTCATTGGCCAACCGAGACAGAAAGTAAGATATTAAGTTACTTGGATGCCTATGATCTGTTAACTAGAAAAGGCACACCAGCAGATTAAAAACCTTGCAATGCCTAAAATAGAATTACTGCTGTAATAATGTTTGAAGTTACCATTGTTTGTATAAAACGAGTGTATGAGATTATCTCCAGAGGCTCGCTGAGTCAGTGGAAAACTACTTATATCAATAAACATCATAAACCTGACTTTGTTCTTAATTGATTTTAAATTATTTTCATGCGTCAATACTATAAGCTTGCACATTCATATCGAGTTCGGTCTAGCACAATGGTCAAAAGAAATTGATACAATTAATGTGCGAAAAGAGGTTTAAGACAGGCCAATTACAATCTGCAACGATTAGCCTGCCAAGCTGTAAATCTTGTTCTACCACTGACAAATAAATGATTTACGCTGATGTCCAACCGGGCGTCGACCGCACTGACAATCATGAGCTTTTTGCGATAGCGGCACAGTGGATCGCATTTTTCTTATGTAATTCTTTAATCTACAGATGGCCTCATCAAAGAGCTCAACTGTTATAGATGTTGATATGTCACAAATCAGAAAATGATGAAAGCAGTACCAAAAATATATACTTGAAGTCTAAAAGTGCTCGTAAAATGACTCAGGTCATTACACAATTGAGGCATATCACGATCAGATGTCAACTGATGGAGCAGCAACATACCTTACCAAGCATTAGGCTGCAGTTGATTACATATACCCGCGCACTGAGCTGTTAGTGCAAACGTTCTATTGCATCCTTAGCGCTATACGATAAAGCAAAAGACCGTACTATCTAATGATCAATTGAGCACTTTTTTTTTTATCTAATGGCATTCGTAAGCTTATACCGCAAGACATTTAGGTCATGATAAACCCTGCAGTAGCTTTCCTATGATGTACATGTCTTTCATTGTCAGTTATAGTGAGCTAATTTTTCTGCAGAAAAATTTTACGTGCGTTACATAATTTTGAACTAAATATATTTAGTTTCAATGAGTGTCAAAAGAAAGCCTAGGCATCAGCCTTACACTGCTAAGGCTTTGGATCAAGACGAGTGATTTAATGGCCGATTAAAAGCAATGACAAATGCTCTTTACCTAGAGCCAATGTTTAGACCGAATGTTGCGTAATGCATGTGAGTACCTGCTAGGTGCTGTTTACATAGGCAAATGTATAAAACTTTTGGGTACACGCTAAAATTAAGGCTCGTAATTTGCACCGATTGAACCTGGATGTTACAACTAAGATATCAAGTGTGTATGACATGCGGTGATATATAATTAGAACAAATTGCACTGGCAACACGCAGAAAACTAGCCCTCCTTAAATGCGGCATTGATTGCCAAGGTGTTAAAAAATTATGAAAGGGTATACTTGCCATGTATCTTGGATCTCCTGAGAAATTTGAAAAAATATATTACTACGACACCAATTGATATTTGATGACTACATGGATTTGGCAATATGCTAATCACCGCCTCACTTTTTCTTTGATCAGTAACACAGGATATATTTTCCTCTTAATATACATGCGAAACTGTATATATCCACTTGTTAGTCATTTGAAAGCCAAGAATAGAAAATACTGCCATCTTGTATTGAAAAAGACGGGCCGGTCCGATGATCTGCCATCATCATAGAAGAGATACAGTTCATTTATAAAATCTACAAACTCTGTTATCTCCATTGATGCTGTTATCTATGTATTCAAATTGATAAGCTGGGTAGTAAACTACAAGAAACGCCAGAGATCTAACACAACCAGAAAGAGGCGGATTATTTTTCATCCGAAGATACATGTATAATTCTACTGTACGACCGAGGATACCTAATATATTCAATTTCTTTACATTTGAGTGGATCTCACGCAGTTTTTAAGTTACTAAGGACCAATAAAATAAATAAATAAAATGGGATTTTTTATTTTTGTGAAAATCATCCATCAGGGATGACATTAAAGAAAGTACGGTTCATATTACTATGAGGAGAGGTAATAAAGAGCATGAATTTGAGTTTGAGAGAAAGTAGAAGGGATGAATGGGGGAATTTGAATAAAAAATACAAAGTATTACTTTTTAAAAGCATACAAAGAGATATTGAGAGAGAAATTAAAAAAAAGCTAATATACAAATCATCAATTAAGTGAAAAGAGATAAAATAAAGATATTTGGTTTGAAAAAAATAAGAGGGTGAAGAAGGGGAATCGTCTTTAAGAAATAAAAATTAGTTGGTAACTTCAACATGATCGTGATCAAAATGCTTATTCTTTTCAATGGAATCGCTGTTTTGGCTGGAAGATGTACCATCGGTGGCAATGTTCTCGGCATCAGGAATCTTCTCCTTCTTGCTGTGGTCATCAAGGTCCTTGCCAGTGGTTTCAGGCATAATGAAGGTCATGAACAAGAAACCGAAGAAATTGATAACAACAAAGACAATGAAACTGTAAGTGCCGAGGCCTTCACTCAACTTGGGCCAGATGGTGTTGATGACAAAGTTGAAGAGCCAGTTAGAAGAGTTACCGATAGCAGAGCCAGAGGCAAGAGCGTGCATAGGTAAGAGTTCGGGAGCAATCATCCAAGGAATGACACCACAACCCATACTGTAAGAGCCAGTGAAGACGATGGCAGCAGCAATGGCAAGACCACCAATACCTTGTTGACCGTTGGAGCTCTTGAGAGACGAGCCAAGAACCATCATAATGGAAGCAATACAAGTACCACCAGTAGAGATCATCATGAAACCCTTGCGACCCACCTTGTGCATGAAGATAACAGCAACAAGAGTAGCGGCAATGTTGACAGCGGCATCAGCGAGAGAGATGTTGGAAGCCAAGTTGGCATCACCAAAGATGGTAGTGAAGAAACCGACAGAGTAGACAGACATGGGACCAATACCACCGATTTGGTTGAAAGCTTGAATGACAGAGACAATAGCAGTGTTCTTGGTAATGTGCTTGTCCTTGCAAGAGATGATGTCCCAGATGGAGAATTGCTTTTGAGCAGATTCAATCTCACGTTGACGAGCAGCGAGCATAAGGGCAAATTCCTCTTCAACATCTGCGCCAGCACGGAGTTTTTGAAGAGTAGCGCAAGCTTCATCGTACTTCTTGTTGGCACAGAGACGACGAGGACATTCGACAGTGAAGAAGAACATACAGGCGAGTTGAATAGCGGCAATGAAAGTGGGGATAGCCCACAAGAAACGCCATGCAGGAGCAAAGGCCATGAAGCGACCACAGACTTGAGTCAACAAAATACCAGCGTTCAAGAACAATTCAAAAAGGGAGCCAAGAGCACCACGGGATTTCTTGGTAGAGATTTCGGATACATAGATTGCGACAGAAGAACCACACATACCAGATGCGAAGCCGACCAAAGCACGACCAACGGAATACATTGTCAAGTTGATAGCACAAGCAGACAAGAGACCACCGATCATCATCCAGCCACAAGAAATCATAATATTATCACGACGACCAAACCAGACATTTGTGTATTTACTGGCAAGACTACCAAAGAAACCACCAATGGCAAAAGCACCAATGGTATAACCCCAGGTAGGGAAATCCATGGGCATACAGCCAGGCAAGACACCATCTTCGGTGCCTGGAAGACAGCTGTAGGAGCCATCATCATTGACAATACCCATAATTACTTTCTCGGGCATGTTGGGCACACCTAATGGATGCAAGAGTGTTAATTTCATGAATGGATTACTATCATAATTGCATTCCAAACATACTGATATGCCATCCGACATTGAATCCGGAAAGAGCGGCGAGAGTAGCGCAAACTGTCATGTATAATGGGAAACCCATATCTTGAGATTTGATTTGATTCGACATGTTCGTGTGTATTGCTGATTTATGTTGAATTTGAGGAGCGTTTTCTTTTTTTTTAATTAAAATAAATATGAATTTATAGTGCAAAAAAAAAGATAATAAAAAAAAAATAAAGGTTTGTTGTTGATAATGATAAGAAGAAGAAAAAAAGGAAATGATTAGAAAAAGATCTATAATTTATAGTATTTTGATCAAAGTGGTTACACCTGCCTATTACAGTAAGAGTCGATATACCCCACACAATGCGATATGATTCGTTACTAGGTGGTACTTGAAAGCCGTTTATAGTTGATTTGAGATTCAACCTTATATGAGATTATTCATTCATTGTACTCCACTCACTCAAATTGACGACATCCACTACGTAACTGGATGGTCAGTCAAGACTCTTGCTCTTTCTCCCTTCAGGGCGAGTTGCCGGTTGAGTGGCCCAATGAGCCTTTCTTCACGGGTCCCCCCCACATTTCCCAATACGCTTGATTTGAGCCTACAAGCACCAACATCCAGCTTCGTGTGAATTATACCGGTACTACCCCTCTTAATTTTTTTTTTATTTCAACAACTCTTAACAAGATTCCCATGAAAATCGTTTCACAGAGAAATGAAATAAACCGTCGAAACATAACACTTGTATTGGCATGTTCGTTGAGTATTGTGTGAAATGGGTAATATTATTGCAGAACGTGATTTCACTCGCCTTCTTTTTTTTGCATGGCCCCCACAAGCACTAGACATGTGCTTTGAAACTCCATTGCCCATCAATTTACAGAAAACCAGACATTCCATCAAGATAGGTTTGTTTTTTTTTTTTCTCATTGACACATTGGAAATGTCACATTATCGATGAGTTTTTCTTGTTGTCATTGAAAATATCATGCATTTTTCTCATATTCATACAGCTGCCAAATATACAGTACAGCAAACTATTCTTATGCTCGGCTACATGTATGCTACTGACTGTAGATTTCATGTTTTTTTTAGTTTATGATCTAACTATTTCAGTGATGGAGTTGGATACATATGACAATTTCAATATTTCATCAGACAGACAGATCGATTTTTCAGTTCGACTAATGGAAAGAATATAAATGCGACATAAACGGCTTGAGAAATATACATCTACAATTGAATGTGTCAAAAGATCAGTACCAAAAGAGGAAACATCAAGATACATTGAGTTGCCATGGTGATCTACTGTAAAGACCAAATATAGAACTATACTAGATGCATTTCCCTCGTACACTTTATTGCAACAAGCAAACAAATTTGGGTCACGTTGTTAGCAAAATCACACTGTATTATCAATATACATCATACTTTGACCAACGACAAGTGAGCTTTGGCTTGGTTTGTATCACTGTAAACAGAGAATTTAATAAACTTCTCATACCCACACTCAACAAGCCTAGTCTTTTACCATATGTACATGATATACCCACTATAATGCCTATAACGAAGATCTTTTTTATGGTGAATAAAGTGTAAATACATGTTTGTGTGTGTATGTGGCATCAAATATACCAACTAAAATAACTTTATATTTTCTTCCATTTCCTGGGAGACAAAAAAAAAGCACACAGTTTGAGGGTTCACAAATGCCAAAGGTTCACGTAAAAGAATTCAAACAAACACTTGAAACTGTTGTGATATCGAGAATATCCAAGCAGTGCGAATATCATTGTGTACAACCTCTCTATCATTGGGTTGATACGGGGGTGAGTCATTGACGATTAAGATATGCTGATTTACACATCCAGATTATCTGCGTATCTGTATTTGATAATGACAACGACATGTTGCGATATGATATATGTAGAAACTACATAGACTATAGCTAAATCAATCCATTTTGCATGTGTGTGTGCGCCTGAGAAATATGAAAACGAGATAAGATAAATAAAAAAACATACACACATTCTATTTCTAGAAAACCACGGTTTTCACGTCTTACAGGAATTCACTCCATTTAAGTGGTGTAGACGAGTAAAATATATTAGCCATTAACAGGTAATACGCACACAAACACAGCGATTGTACACAAATCAGCCGTAAATAGACATCATCCTTCATAAATGAATTGAATGGTAACCTCCCTCAAGTGAACTTCGTTCGCAAATAATGGGCCAAGCGAGAAGTGAACATAACAATGGAATCGGGATTATGTAAAACGAATTAACAAAGCATCAGTAACATGCTATTGCTGCCTATACACACCAGAGAAATCCGGGGTTTCGGGCTGCCACACCAAGAAGCAGGGAAAAAGAACGCCTCGATAGGAAGGAGTTCCTTGAATCCTCAATGACAAGCGGATCGGGTCATTCTGTGCCATCTTTTACTGATCTATCCTCTCTGATATCGCAAAAAAAAAGTATCGATATCCATTGAGTTGGTCAATTATACTCTTGTCAAATGACTGCAAGAATACATCTATCGTCTCAATCAGGCTGTGGCAGGCTTACACACTACATGTGTTATATATGTAACTTTATCTGATACTAGTAGGAGGTGTCACTCTTGATTAAGAAATATAGATACAGTTATGACCAATTGCAGGCCTGATAATTAATCTATAAATTCTCATCGAACAGATGATTCCTTAGATTCCTAAAACTCTGTGAGCATAGGTCTATATTTCGATTATTTCTCAATGAACATAAGAGTTAATTGACATTCGTGTGCATTTATACTACGATTTATTCATATAATCACGATTCAAAACATTCAGTGTAGACATTGAAAAACATTAATATGTTGCCATACATATCAGAGAGGGTGAAGCTGGGGTACAAAAGAAATTCACACCAAAAGCAGTTATGTTTTGCCATTTTCGATTAGGATTCCAGTGATTGAAAGATCTTTTTATCGTTAAACTTGTATTGAAAAATGAATGCCCCCTGAATTATCTTGATACAAAATGTGAGTGAACTTTCGGCAAGCAATCAGTTTTCTTGAAGCGCTAGAAGGTAGAGAGTTTACTGGAATGTTGAGCTATATTAGACTACCACCGTAAGCAGGTACATTTACTTGACAATGAAGCCTATCAATTTTACTTTCGGCTTATCAAATACAGTATATACGCGTCATCTGAACTGAAATTCATGAAGATTCAGGAAGAATGGATAGCCTTTGTTGCCACTCCTGAAGCGTTTATTCCCATAATATACATTATATGAGACTAGCCGAACACATTCCAAATCAGAGATAATGAAAATTGGAATATCAAGTAGATTTTATACAATTAATTACTAGTAAAAGAAAGGTTATATCAGAGCCAGAAGGAGGAGAGGAGGTATCTCCCTCAACATCCTTTTTGCTTACACTGATATCAAACAAAGCCTATTATTGAGACAATGTGAAAGAAAATTCAGCTTTTATGCAGCATTTGTACATTACAATCGCCATTTTCTGATAATAGAATTGGTGTATCATTCACCGCTGTTGATGCTCTTAATAAGATGGCGACATAAGGCTGGTCATAAGTAAATACAGGACTTGTGTGAGATGTACAGCGGCTTTTTTGAGATATTGTCATTGCAAAAGACATCTTTACGAGGTAAAACTCCCCAAAAAAGTATTCGGGCTATTCAATTGCCCTTTCAATTCCATGATCCCCATTTAATCAGCATCGCAATCATCATTGTCATCATCAGAAAGGCATTTAGGTCAGCCAGCAGCAAGTAGCCACCAAAATTAATTTAAGCTCAGTAAATTTTTATCTGTTCAAGATTGGACAGATTTTGTCTTTTCTCGACTTTTTTTCATCTATTTTGTGATATTCGACTATATAAACTATGATGATCGCCCTATGCTTCCTAATACATTCTTAAAGTACTTTTCAAGGCGCTTCCAATGGTGCTAACTGTAATAAGTGTTTTGAATGAAATTATTGAGCAATTTAATAAAATTTGAAATCAGGTTTTTAGTGAAAATAACCATATTTTGCATATGAAAGCCTCGTAAAAGTAGTTTCAGAGGTTGCTTTGGATCGAGAGAAGCATTTTGATTTAACATATACCATAGTAAAAAGTCTTCATTTTCAAAGTGAAAAATGCGATCGTTTGATTTTCGATGAAAACCATGAGGTATCTCTCATGGTTTTTGGTCGATTTTCGACGATCCCAAAAAAGTTGAGCAAACGTGTCAGAATGTTAGTGCTGGATGAGAGAGATTCTTTGGCGTTGTTCTGGTGGTCTACATCGTCTTCTAACGCGAGAAATCACGACTCGACTTTACCAATTTTCACTGTAGTTTGCATATTATTGAGTAGTAAGAGGTGTTGGTAGTACGCTCCCTGTTCATACATGAGTTGCTGCCATTGATACAGACGTGGGGCATCTCAGGAGACTTTCATATTGATAATAATCTATGGTTGATCTCATAACCTACCCAACTGCTAAAAAAAAAAAAAAAAAAAAAAAAAAAAAAAAAAAAAAAAAACTGGAAACACCTCATCAACCAGGCCATACACTGATACGCAATGAAAGTTCTAATTTACTATTAAGATGATACAAAGGAGTGATAGGAGATGTTAAAAAAAAAAAACTGAACAAGATACGAAATCGATGAGTTGTAATGAGATGGAGGTGGGTGAATGCAAAAGTTTCAAAAAGCTTAACGCTGAATGAAGTACGATTATTGCAGCAATGGACCAACCAAGTACAATATCCAATGTACCAGCAATGTAGTAACCAAGATGAGGACAGAGACACCAATGGTGGTTCTTCTATACGGAGCAGATCCATTGGGTTGCCATTGTCTACGTCTATTGCTCCACACTTCTTGCACACGGTCCAATTTATCTTTTGCATCAGGCGTCACCTTGACCATCAAATAAGCATGATCACTGACACTATAATCACGATTGCCAATCCATTTCTGACGCACATCCATGCATCGCACCATAGTCCAATCCAGTTTCGCTTTAAACAAGCCAAAGTAATCAGGATTATGTAAAGTAATCTCGTTGGGATCCCAGGGATCGTAGAATCCAGGGTTACGGGCTCTCTTGAGCGTTTCCAAGTCAAATCCACTCACCAACTCAAACAACTTGAGTGAACCCAAAAGCCGCCAAATGAATCTGACAAGACGAATTGGTGCCATGGAGAAGGGGAATCCTGCTGCTGCTAAACGAAGGTTGTATTCATGTTGTGGATCACGGTAGACAGCCATCACATGACGATCAAACCAGTTGCTCTCTGTGTCTCCCAAGGACATGAGTCTGTATCGGTCACAAGCATATTTGGGTGACAGTCTCACAATAGAGTGTGCCATGGTGTTGAGGTCGCCACCGATGATTTGGTGTGGGTATTCCTTGGCGATCGAGGCTGCGTCCTCTAAAATGTCGGCAAAGTTGTTGATACGACCAATGATACCAGTGAAAACCTAAGTTTATGCGAGCTAAATGACGCTGCCAAGCAATTCAGCTGCGAATGTTGGCTTACCTCTAAATGCACACTGTAACATACAATCGGCGGTAATGGTGATGCGCTCACAGTGCCTACCAGAGTATATCGTCTGCATGAAAAAAAAAAAAAAAAAACAATCATCATCAGCATCAGAAGAAATGCTGGAAGAGAATGATACCTACTTTCCCCTCCTCGGCTCTTTCAGCTTGTATCCGTCCTTTTCCCAGTTAAAAGCGTCCGTTCTATGCTCCAGCACTCTGAAATCGATGTCATGCTTTGATAAAATAGCATTTCCATGCACACCACCTCCCTGAATGTACGATGTTAATACAATCACAACACACGCTTTAGTCACACGGCTATCCATCTTACAGCGTCTCTCAGTTTTCTAACGGGGCTGTCAATCTCTTCAAATTCGCATACAAATCCACCCAAGAGCCCCAAGGATTTGCATAATTCTTGTATATGGTCACGGTTGCCAGATCTTTTGCAAAAGATGTCTACTTCTTGCAGTATAATCACATCAGGATCCAGATCTTGGATGGTCTTCATGATGGCTTCAGATTCTGGTTTTTTGATAGCAGAGTGATGAGGACACTTGATATGGGGCATGTGCTTCTTTACTATGCTACCATACCGTAGTTTCTTTCAATGTTCCACTGCACTACTTTAAGGGATTCGTTTACAATAGGCTTTTCTTGCGGTCTGTAATCGTGGATGACAATATCCCCAGGCGACGGTAAGGAGTTGCTGGCCATGTTTCTCTGTCAGACTCTAGGCAATGCCTACTTGATATTCTCGGGCAAGATGGAAAAAAAAAAGGGGGATGAAATGTATCTCCAAAACCTGAAAAATTGTTTTTGTTGGGAGAGAGGATTAAAAAAAAATGTGACTCACAGGCACAGAGAAAAAGAGGTGGGTGCTTGGATCTTGTGCCTATCCACATTGGAGACTAGTGCATGTCAAAAGGTCGCCCATTTAAAATCACAATCAAATGTGCATATTTAAGTCGGTGCATTTCAGATCAATCCTCTGTTTCTTCTTGTTCTCTAGTAATCTATAAATATATAAAAAATGACCAGCAAAGTGGGTCAATGGAAACCAAGATCCAGGCTATACGAAAAGGATTTAGAAAAAGACAGCTACTTTAAAGAAATCTTTGTGGAGGATGCTCTACTTGAAGCAGAGAATTATCGCCGATCATCATTATCAGAAGATGAACAAAGTTCAACTGGAATGTCATCCGATGGAGAGCTGCTAGAAGAACCAGAGCCACCCGCAGAAGAGATGCCCCTCAAAGCGCCACACAGAATACCCTTACATCAACGCAATGTTACTCGCATCAAACGCAGTGTGCTTCAGAAATTCATGCTCGCCGTCAAGTCTGTGATATCCGCTCTCCTCTCATTTCCCATTTTATTCTTTTTTGTAACCATGGCAGTGTATACTACTGGAAAACAGCAGTTGTTGGACAAACAAAAGCGCATTCAGGAATCAGATGAAGACGACATGCCTGATGAACTACTGACACAAGACGAAACATACTATGCTGAGCGATGGGGATATACCAGTGAGATGCATGAAGTGGTAACTCAAGATGGTTACATTCTGAAAATGTATCGCATCAATAAAAAGGGATCCATACCAAGAGGTATCATATCATCATGATTTGTATGGCTTTCAACATATTAATTAACTAAATATAGGTAAACCTGTCTTGATTGGCCATGGTTTATTTCAATGCTCTGGCGCCTTTGTCTTGAATGAACAACGCTCATTAGCATTTACATTGATTGATCAGGGCTACGATGTGTGGGTAGGAAACAACCGATCCATTGCTGGCTTGGATCATGTCTCGTTATCGTTCAAGGATCCCGAGTATTGGAATTGGGGACTAAAGGAGTTGGGTATCTACGATTTCGCTGCCATGTTGGATCATGTGAAGTTGTATTCAAATAGCTCAAAGGTATTGTCATCATTGGCCCAATTTCACTTGATGAGCACTGATATGTATTTGTACGCAGGTCGCTTATATTGGCCATTCTCAAGGCAATGCACAAGCATTCATTGCGCTATCACTATGCCCAGAGATTGCTGACAACTTGAGCTGCTTTATCGCTTTAGCGCCTGCTGTCTTTTCTGGTAATCTCGTAAAGTAAGTATACAATCATCATATGAAAACGATTTGCATGATGTCATGTTTTGGTTAAAACGCTCTATGCTATTATAGCACATTTCCTCTGAATCGCTTGATCAATCTGAGTGATTGGTTCTATAGCTTAATGTTTGGTAAGAAGATGTGTAGCATGAAAAACAGGGAGACTGAACTCACGACATGACATCAAACGTATAGGCACTGGATCCTTCTTGCCCGTCATGTCATTTGCGCAGACGATTGTCGAACCCAGACTATTTTGTTTCTTGGCATACAGCATGTTTTCATACTTGTTTAGTTGGTGGGACAGCCATTGGCTTCGCAGAAGAAAAGCAAAGTACTTTCAATTCACACCACGCCCTGTGAGTTCTCGTCTGATTGCAGATTGGATTGCAGGTTGGGGACGTAAAGGGGTGTGTTTGTACGTAGCAGACCAAAATACGGTCATGAACACAGATTTCAAGCGAAAGGTGCCTTTGGTGGTGTTTTACGGTACAGCCGATTATCTGGTCAATGGAGAGCGATTTGTACGCACATTTCCCGGTTATGAGACACATGGATTATCGCCTGAACAGGTGGCCAAAGAGAGCACACCTTCAACCTCCGACTGTCAAAAGACGCTGTTTCCCATGTTGGATTTGGTTCATGTGGAGCGTGTGGACGGATACGAGCATATGGATACTATTTGGGGACATGACAACCATAAAACAACGTATCCTATTGTTTTGAAAAACCTGGAGAATGCAAGATGGGAATAGATTTACTACTACTATACTACATTAAACGTTGCTTAATTTTTGATATCGCTTATAAGACTGTCGAGGAATACTCGTGTTTTATTGCAGCATGAACATGTGTCGTGCTGTGTTGTGTATGTGGGATGGGGGGGTGGGGGAATAAATAGATGCTGTTGTTGCGATGCTATTGAAATTTTACAAACGAGCCTTTTCTTGAGGAACGTACCAAGCCATCTCGACCTCCTTTTGCTTGAAACCACACTTTTCGTAAAATGGTACATTCTAAAATGATGAAGCCAAGGTGAATAATAGGTTGAATGCATCAACGTTTCCGTAATTTTACCTTTTCTGAACAATCCAAGATGACTGCAAATCAAAATACGCATGTTTTAGTTGATAGCCCCTTTCACCCCCCCCCCCCCCCCCCCTACTCCTGAATGAAACTTACCTTTGTAACAGCCACGTTGAGCACCAATAAACTTGAGAGCTTGAATGATTCTCAAACCCAACTTCTTTCCTTGTTGGTTGCTGTTGACAGCAATGTCCTCAATATGTCCAACAAGACCATTCTTGTGCACGAACTTTCTTTCCACGAGAATAGTACCGACGGCAACAACTTGATCTTTGGCATCCTCGGTGATAGTAATAGTATGATCTTTTGGCCGAATGAGTATTCCTTCTCTCTCCGCATGTCTCCTGCTTCTCTCAGGTACTCGTCTACTTACATTCATGGTTATGTTTCTTCATGTAATTGAATTGTTCTACAGAAGAGTATGGTTCAGTCAGATGTATATACGGGGAGACAATCTAGTGTTGTGTTTTTACCTGTAAACTCTTCCTTGGTATGGCCTCCTACTTCCGTCAAGACGGTCAAGACGTCAAGAAATCCACGCTCATAGTCATTGGATCGAAGGGCACGAAGCGTGTAGCCAGCAGGCAATTGAGATTGTACTTCAGGGCTAAGCAAGCTAGATTCAAAAAGAGAGATTTCAGACATGATAGAAGGAGAGAGAGAGAGAGAGAGAGAAAAAGATGAAGAGGAACTAAACAAACAAACCATAGCTTGTTATTTATATCATGATAGAAACTTGTGCGGTCCTTCCGCGGATACAGTGCCAAATAACACTCAAAGTCCTCCTTATTGACCGCGGGAAAGATAGTGTATGTGTTGCACACAGGCCTAGTGATTGGCTTGTCTATTTATACTAATTTGTTGAGCACTAATTTATGATCTACAGCCTTTAAATAAATCTTGCATGGAACACTGAGAGATGCTATTAATATACTTGAAATCTTATGTGATGACACGCTTGTCATCTAATGGCTTTTATTTTATACATCCATTGGAAATCTTCTTGCCGGCTATTGCTGTGATTTGGTATCCAAGACATGAGATTGCCCAGACAACGCAATTATCGTATTTGGCAAATGAATAGGTGTATGATCAGCAGAACGCCTAGCTTCCAAATGTTACTAAGAAGTCTATTGTGTATGTGCTGCTTAAAACAAGAGGCCAAACCCTAAAAGAAGAGGCCAAAATGTGGCATCATGCTCCTTACTGGCTTTAAATGCCTTGTGTCGCATTTCCATTCATCATGACCGCATTGTTCAGCCAACATACAATTTAATCCTCTTTCTTTTTTCTTTGCACATTGATAAACATGGCACAAAAGGTATACTATACAAGACCCTAAGAAACACATGCACACACGTCGTTAACACACTCGAAAGGCACCTCCTAAATTTGGCTCTGCAAATGCTTCCGTGTACAAGTATATCGCAGGCAAGTTTTACCATCCTAGCACACGTTATGAAGATCTCCAAGGGCTCAGTATCAACAAGAGTGGTGAATGTGAATTGATTCAAGTAAGAGCGAGTTGCTTGCTTTTATGCAAACATTGATAACATGGACAATGACAGGCCAACACCAAATTTATCGCTGTTCCTCTGTCTGGTCCTGGTGGTCGTGTTAGTATCATCAACAGCGAAAAACCAGGTCGACTTCCTATTCATATCCCATCTGTGCTTTGTAATTCTGAAGTAAGCAACTTTAAGTTTGATCCATTCAATGAGAATATTCTGGTTACAGGTAAGATCACTTTTGAGCGACAACGGGTGTATATTGATGCTTACACTAAATACAGTGTCCATGGATAACAAGATTCGAGTATGGGAGATTCCTGAAGGCGGTATTGAGGAAGATATAGCAGAACCCAAATGTGTGTTTGGGTCCAGTTCTATGGACAAGGTGCATTTGATTGAATTCCATCCTACCACCAAAGACATCTTATTAACAACATCTGATGATTTGGGCCACCCAACGGTACGTATCTGGGATGTACAAGCTCAAAAAGAGGAAATTGTGTTGAAGGGTCAGCACAAGGATGTGATTTTCAGTTGCGCATGGAGTCCAGATGGCACACACATTGCGACCACCAGCAAGGACAAAAAGCTGCGCGTCTTGGATGCTCGCACTGGCGAAATCGTAGCTGAAGGACCTTCGCACAACAGCATCAGGCCTTCTCGCTTGGTGTGGTTGGACAACCAACTGTTGGTCAGCGTTGGATTTGGTCTTGGATCTTCTCGCGAAGTCTTGTTGATGAGCAAAGAGGATTTGTCAAAACCATTATGCAGAAAGACCATTGATATCTCACCCAGTATCATGAGTGCTTACTATGATCCTGATTGTCACATTTTGTTTGTTGCTGGAAGAGGCGATCGCACCATTCACACATACCACTTGGAAGAGGACAGACAACTGACTGCTGTGGCAAAGATTGAAGGCACTACACTACAACAAGGATTCGCTTTTTTGCCTAAAAAAACATGCCATGTCAAGGATATCGAGATTGATAGATTTTATAGACTGACACCGAACAGTATTGAGCCTGTGGGTGTACGAGTGCCTAGAGCTAGAGTAAGTTGAGGGGGGTGTGGTGTATATGTCGGTATCCATTGACGCATTGTGATAGCCCGAGTTTTTCCAAGACGACATTTTTGTGCCTACATTAGACTTGGATCATCCTGCTCAAGAAGCAGCCAATTGGTTTAAAGGAGACAACAAACAACTGGGAAAAATCTCATTGCAGCCAGAAGACATGTCGCCTTTATCTACTGCACCACCACCAGCATCGCAAGCACAATCCCAGGCTAAATTCGAGATGGGCAAGAAATTTGTCAGTGAAGAACAACGCAAAAAGGAGCAAATGGAACGCATGTTTGCAGCCGCCAAAAATATTGAAGGAGATGATGAGGTAAAGCCTAAACCTACCAATCCCGAGGACGAGGAAGTTGCAGAAGATGAATGGGATGATTAATGTGGAATTTTGTCTCTGTGGTGTGTGATTCTGGCATTCTTGCATAAAGGACAGTAATAAATGTATACACACAACTAGAAGGGACACTTAAATCCGCCTGCTTGGTGTTACTAACGACCATGGAAAGACGCAAGGGTTTTTATTAGTTGTATATTTTATACAAGGATGACATTCTCTGTAATCCATTCTTTCAAGGTGGGGGTTGGGAGATCAAGGGAAATAGCAGGATCTGGCTGGGTAACTGGCTCCTGAGCATCGTGGTTTTCACTGCGTCTGTTCAAGCTGGAGAACGCCTGATGTGCTAATCTTCCTACTTCGTCCCATAATTCATCGCAAGTCGTTGCATGCGTTGTAGTATATCTAATAACAGAGGCAACCGTGTTTGGATGGCCAGAAAGAGTTTCCGTGTTAATATCTCCAGCCATACTGTCACTGTCAATATCATCGAGTATCGACTGATCAAGGATGGTTTCTATAAATGGACATTATTAAGAGACATGTTGTCCTTCTTTTTGAACTAAAACAAGAGTTTCTATACCTGCCATGGTAGGTGTTGATGCTACTACTGCCATTGGTGCTTCAGTAATAGCCTCATTCTCTTCGCTAATAGTATTATCCAATCTTCCCAGCATTTCTACATCTAATCAAGTGGTGGGGTTTAATAATACACGCCTACGGTTCTCATGTGGGAGGGGGGGGATGGAGGGAATACACTTATTAATCACCTTTTTCAGATGGATGGGAAAAGTGATCCGTTTGAGAAGTTTTGGGCTCTAGTGTAGTTGCGGCTGATGGTTCAGCAGGTTGAGCTAATAATGCTGACGGGGACGATGCATTTGCCTTTCGTTTGCTTGATGGCTGTTTATTCTCATTGTCGGGACTAGGTCTTTTTGTGCCAATGATGGGAGGAGGTGTGTCGTCTTTTTCAACCTTGGCAGTAACTAGAGATCGTTTGCAGCATTTGTGGCGACATCTAGTCATCTGGTATCAGTACCCATACATGTGGTTAGCACTATCCAGACGTACTTGTCCTTCTGCTTGCATTGGTGCTTGCATCTAATGCGATTCATGAGTGTCTATACTATCTCATAACACACCCATACAAACGGTTCCAAGGATGGTGCTGCTGCCTTTTTCTTGTTGGGCTTCTTCTTTTCTTTTAAAGCTACAGCAGGCTCTTTCTGTTTTTGCGCTTTTTGAAACGTCTTTGACTCGAATGAAGTGCTGGGCCCTGCTCCTTCTTGGTTACTGATAACATTGAACAGTCTGTTGTAAGCCTGAATATCGATGTTGTCACTCATCTCTTCAATGTCTGTATCCGTTTGAGAGTCTATTGGCATAGTCATGGTAAATGGGTTTGATGTAGCTTTTGGTGGTGGAGGTGGCGATGTGGGCTTGATGGGTACTTGAATGGGTGGTTGAAATATCTCTTGCATTTCAGTATCGTCATCTTCGACGTCCATTGGATCGCCCGCTATCATTTCCTCCAGAATTTCATTGATTTCCGGTGTAAGATGTGGTTTGGACATGTTGGAAGCGCTGGCAATGTTGATAAATTTACGAGGATCCACTTTTGGCTTGAATTCTTTCTGTACATCGAGGCCCACTGTGTTTGCATAGGACATGAGTTGAGTCTATTCTCTCTTAACCAGACATACTCTACCGTAATCTCCACATTGAAGATGCCCAGTGATTGTGCTGGTTAAAGATTCGACTTTTACTCTGAGATCAAAGGCGCATTTTTGTTGAAGCAGGTTGGAAATTCTGTCATTCCATAATCAGGTTGGAGTACAAAGCAAACAGATACAGTTTGCACTACTTACAAGGTACGACGAAAATCCACCAGACGGTTCTCCGAGGTCTCCAGCCAAAACTGAACATAGCAGCTCTTGCCTTGCTTGGTACGAGTAACTACATCTGTGTTTTTCAATTCAATGTCGATATGTATTGTAACAGTTACATTGCCGGTTTCTCGGTTGGTCTCAGAGCCACTGTTCATCAACTAGTAATAGAAAATCAAGATGAGTTGAGATGCTGCTGTTCGTGTATGACATACCTGATGTATGCCTAGACTCAGATTGGGTAAAATGGAAATTTCTTTACAGAGCTTGATGCCAAATGGAGGGTTGCGATGTAGCAGCTATGTTTTGGCATCCAATGAGCTGCTATTATATTAAAGACATCCCTCAAACTACAAACCTGCTCAAATCTTCCAGGATCGCAATTTCTCAATTGGTCAAAGTTGATCAAGTTGGCTTGAGCTATGGTTTTAGCATACTGTGCTCCAATACCGGGCAATTGACGAGCAATATAAGGTGAATTGGACCACATGCGTGCTTGCAGGCATTGATATAACTCCAGTGCATATTTCAATTTAGCAGCGTTCTGCTCATGAACACTGCAATCAATTAAGCCTGTTGCGGATCAAAAGTGTGAGTACATTCAGCATTCAGCCATTTACGATAGAATGTACCTACATCTTGTTAAGCGACTTGAATGCTTCATAATAGCTGATGCTTCGATGTTGAGCAGTGTGTTGCCACCATTGGTATTGTTCAGAGAAATGTTCCCAAACACGCATTGAATCATCATGAAGACCTTGTCTGCTACACTCGTTATCTTGTCCAGAGGAAAGCGGACGCTGTCATGGGTTCTAATGGAATTGAGAAACTGCTTGTCGCCCTGATTGAGTCGAATGGTTTCTATTTCTTGATGTGATTTGCTGATAAGTTCCAACGTGTCTCTGACAGAAGTGGGCGTCTCGCTCTCCATCAATCCCACCATGGTAGGAAATCGAATATAATATACGTCCATGGCGACGCCAAAGGGAGTTGCCTTGAGTGTGGCATCAGTAGGCGATTTCTGGATAAGGTTGTGGTACTGCAACAGCTCCAAATCTTTAACGCAAATTTCTTGTAATATGGTGTTTGACGAGATGGAGTCTTGATTCAGTTTGTAATGTTCTGGGTTTTTGAGTAATCTCACATAGAGAAACGTGGATTGGAGCCATTTGAGTGCGGTAATTTGATTTGTGATGGTGCCCAAACAGATCTCGGAAACAAGATGTTCAATCAGGTTCTCGTGAAGCCGGCTTTCCAGATTGGTGGTGCCAGAGACCAAGGATTTATAGCGAAGCTCCATTTGGGTGGTAGTGAGAATGACGGCACAGCCAGATGTGTCTAATCCAGGTCGACCAGCTCTTCCCATCATTTGAAGGAGATCAATGTCAGAGTATTCTTGTAGACTTCCGTTTTGATAGCCTGCTGATAACACCCAGACGTAAGCGTGTGTTTGCGTGTGCGCGTAATGGAATAGACATACCTTGAGTGGATTTGACAATGACCAGATGTGCTGGCAAGTTGACGCCCACAGCCAAAGTGGATGTAGTAGCTATGCGTGCTCGGTGTGAGGAATGTGGTTATACGTACAGATGCAATGCGATATACATACCTATGACTCGAATTTCTCTGTTCATAAACTTGGTTTCAACTTGAAAGCGATCAGCAGGATCCAATCCAGCTAAAATGTAGTTTGACGGAAATAAGCCTGGACTCATATGAAGCCTGATAACATACACCACTTACCATGATGAAATGCAATGCCTCTGGCAACAAACTTGAGCAAATTCTTGTTTTTGAATTGAATATTGCTCTGATCTATGGCAAACGATTTGCTACAAGATACAGGCATGAAAATACATTCAAAACCTATCTGCACACATATGCTTACTTTAACGTCGTTATTCGCTTCTTGTCCATCAAATTTGTTATCGTAGAACATGCTAGTTCAGTTGATTTGCGAGTAGAGCAGAAGATCAACACGGGCTTGTTGTCACTATGCTTTTCAATCATTTCCAGCAACCTTAACCACATTAATTAGCGCATTGGCAAGCTATATACTGAATGTTGCACTCACTTCCAATCCAATTTACGGTCAAACAGAAACATGTTACCCTCCTGGTAGGGATATCCGTATACGAATCTCTCCAGTATGATAGGGCGGTACTCTTCTGAAAATGAGATGGCTAATACATACACATGTATTAATACAATCAATCACTGTCAGGCTCGCTAATATAAACCTACGTTTAGCATGTAACCAGGTTGCAATGTCTTGCAAGTTGGGCACAGTGGCTGACACTGCAATGTAGCGTAAATTGATGTCCATTGTCTAGTATGTAGGTCAAACAAATTGGCCCCTTAAAATCATGCAAAACCTCGACATCCGTACTTACTTGCATCCTACTCACGCATGCTTCCAAACATGCCCCCCGCTTCTCATTTAGTATGTGAACTTCGTCAATCTAAAATCATGCCATTCATAAGATGAGATCATGGTCCAAAAATGATGACATACCAAGAACAAATTAATGAGCTTCATCAATTGTTTGTGGTCATTCCAGCGCCGAGTCATTGAATCCCATTTCTCAGGTGTGGTGATTCTATGAAATCATCTGGTGTAAATCAAACAGACACAAACTGCCTCGACTACCACAACTTACATGATGGTCGTCTTTCGGATAGCTGCAATGGAGCTTTTTTGGGTGTCTCCTGTAAACTCTGTACCTGTATACCAAATGGGTAAATATACAGCAGAAACAAACAAACAGCTGCATCACGACGCACATTCGATACCCAGAGGCTTGAATTTGAGCTGCCAATCTTTTGCTCTTTCGCTGCATAAACTCTTGGTGGGCGCCATGTAGATGATTTTAGAGTTGATTTCACCATGTAGCAGTGTTCGGATGATTGCAAGTTCCATCACAACTGTCTTTCCAGAGCCAGTAGGAGCTACAAACAGACTGTTTAGCTCATGATTGCATCTCTTTCAATTGAGTTTCGTACCTGAAATGACCAGATTGCCGTTTTGATAAAAAGCCTAAAGCAAAAAGGGAGTTTAATCCATTGGGGATAATGTGTGTTATATTACATACATCGTCAAGACACTTTGATTGGATCTTATTAAATACACCAAAGTTGAAGACGGAATCAAATGGTTTAGCTATGCTCGTGAATGAGTAAACTAGCTGATAAATGTACAACGGTAGCTTTTACGAATTTCACTCGTGGGTCTCAATCCATTGATGCTAGGGCCTCCATTATTGGCTAGTGGTGGTACCTGCGGATAATTGCTTACATCTACGCAACGTTAGTCTACTGAAACACATGTGGTGGTATACGATGTGTGTGTGTGTGTGTGTGTAAACAAACCTGGACAAGCAGCACGAAAAGACGGATATTGTAGCTACAAACAAGATGTCATGTTGGTGATACGGCAAGCAGATGAAACACAGGACACATATCTTTACATACCTGAATAGGGTCTGCTGTTATTGTTGGAGACATTGCCTCAGTGATATCTGCCTCCATGCCCTCTAACAGAGCTTCTTCTCTAGCTAGCCAATCTCCTATGACACTATTAGAGTCTCTGGTGTTTTGATATCTACTAGGTTCTCTTGGTGAAGATGAGAAATAATAGCTCTTGCTTCTGTAATAAGGGTATTGCATTTGTAGTATTTGAAAAAAGAAAGAATGAGAGAGCGAAAAAAAAAAGAACTCACTAATAAATCAATTTCTACAGAATTGGCATGAATAAATCAATATGCTATTGTCAACTCTTTCTGTGAAGCGCATTCAGGGGTATGCGTGTAATATGGCATGAAGAAGCTGCCAGAACATCCTCAAAAACTAATGCCATTCAATAGGAGTGATGGCAAAAAGGGAGGGGAAGCAAACAAAAGCGAGCACCTTCATACTTCTCCTGTAATGCATTATGCGAATGTATTTAATGCAATAGATTATTTGCCTCTTTCTTTTTTCCATTACTCTTCTTTTTGCTATACATTACATATCAACATGACAGATATTATCCTTAATGCTAAAAGCTCCACCTTGCGAAGAGTTCGCCTCAAACCTAGTCTGTCCAACACTTCGTTGCTCTACTCTTCTTCCAATTGCTATCTCAATTCTACTCCCATTAACAACTTTGTATCGCCACTATCACCACCGCCATGTGCTTTTTCATCCCCTTCTTCTTTGGGCACTGCTAAATCAGCGGATCGCGTACTGAAGCCCTCGTTACGCAAATTGGAGACTATTGGTTCTGAATCTATTGCCACAGCAGCCACCATCAAATCAGTTCATTTTAATGACCCTTTGACTCGAGTGGTTCATTTTTATACACCACCTCCATTAGATGAATACGATAAATACGATGAAGAAGAGACAGAGGAAGACGAGGAAGAAGAAGAACAAGAGGAAGAAGAAAGCAAACTGGAGGATGCGTTTCTCGAGTTGTACATGGTCAATGGCTTACAGGATGAATGCGATTCACTGGCTATTGCTCAACCGCCAACAACAGACTCACTCGGTACCAACAACAGAGCTCTTGGTAGGGACAGCTTATCACTTCCCAATTGGCCATTGACAATCCACCCAGCAAGGCGTTTCATCTCACAAATGGTTAGTTTAGAGAGCCTTGTTTGGAACCATTCGTTACAAGTAGTACAAGGACGTGTGTTGGTGCATAACTTGGCTTTTGAAAAGAAGGTTCTTGTTCGCTGCTCGCTTGATGATTGGAAAACTTGGACAGATATAGACGCCTATTACAAAGAACCTGCATTTTATGGTGGACTGTCAGATGTTAGCAGTAACAGTGCATTGGATCGCTTCATGTTTGACATACATGTACCCAACAAGCATGCATTTAGCTGTGACATAGCCGTACGATATCAGACCCTGGGACAAGAGTTTTGGGATAATAACAATGGAAACAATTTTACTGTTCAGTCCATGCCGCTTGAACCATCATTAAGAGAAAAACCATTATCGTTTTTGAAAGCCATTATGCAACAAGAACATGGTAACAACAACAACAATAATAATAAAAAAGGCTTGTCGACCATTCCTACATTAAATTGTATGGAGTATCAAAATGGCATAGGTAGTATTTATCACCAGGAGAAGCTAAAACAGAGTTGCAGACACGGTTCCAGGGATGACATTGTGCCACAGCAGCCAACAGCAAAGACAACAGCAAAAACTAGATATGCACTGGATAGATTCAAGTTTTCAAAATACGGGGCAAGTAAAATACCTGCTGTATCTATTCCTGTGAGTAAAAGATCGACGATGCAGCATCAACAACAAACGATGGGCGCACAGCATGTGGTTGTAGATCTACCCGAACAACAAAACGGTAACATCTATGATGCGTTGGCTTGTAGTAGCATCATGAATAATCATGACGAGGCAGTTGATTTGAAAGAAACACTGTACGCATAGCAAATAAAAATTGGATGACAGTACTCCTTACTGCTGCCTGTTTTTTTGTACTTTGATTTGTATAGGGAGATTTATGACAAATGCAAAGATGGATTAGCGGGATAAGCTATGGTATTCTCTCAGCTCGCAATCTCCTTTGTATGGGTTGTTAAAAGCATCATTTACCTTTAGGATGGCAATGGCATTGATGTTGCCAGCAGCCAGCCAAAATTAATTCAAATTTCGAAAAACGTATAATAAAAAAACGTCGGAATGACCAATCAGTGACCAGAGACGTAAAAAAATTTAAAGCACTAAGTACCGTACAATGCTCGAAAAAACCACCGGCGAAGCTGGCACTGGGGAGGGAGATTTGGCATCTAATTCAACATTTGGTAACGCTGACCTGTAAAGGGGTTTTACCTCAGCGAAGCGAAGGCGCAAAACCATAGTATTCAAGCAGCAAATTCGGATTTTCATTTCCATTATTAATAGGCTTATCAACAACATAACGCATCAAAACTTGCATGAATTAGCTTTACTAATATCAATATACCTTTTATTCAATTAGAATTGCACAGGTTGCAGAAATGCCCTTCCTCCAGAAGATTCCAGCTACCAAGGGTGTGATTCATGCGATGTAAATAAAAGCTATAAAGCAAAACATAATCAAATTTGACAACTTCCAAGCCTTCATATCTTGACATGTAGGCCTTCCTGAGCCACCGGAATAACGCCAAACAATTGTACTTGAGTAGTAGCAACTTCCTGATGCCTTTGCTCAACTTTTTGAGCCAAAAAAAAATATGGTCAAAAATCGACCAAAAAGCATGAGGTACCCCTCATGGTTTTCATCGAAAATCCATCATTTGATGTTCTTATTATAATGTATATTTACTAATAAATAAGCAACATCCATACAAAAAAAAAATTTTTTTTCATCGAAAATCAAACGATCGCATTTTTGACCTTGATAATGAAGACTTTTACTATGGTATATCTTGAATCAACATGTTTCCCTCGATCCAAAGCAACTTCTGAAACCACTTTTATGAGGTCTTCATATGCAAAATCTGGCTATTTTAGCCAAAAACCTCATTTCATATTTTCATAAATTGCTCAATAATTTCAGTCAAAACATTTATTTTATTTGGCACCATTGGAAGCGTCTTGAAAAGTACTCCAAGAATGTATTAGGAAGCATCGGGTGATTATCACAACTTATATAGTCGAATATCACAAAACTATTCTGTCAAGTCGAAAAAAAGACGATTTTTTTTTTTTTTTTTTTTTTTTTTAGGGCAAATGAATGCTTTATTTAAAGTCCTTTAAACGTCACCTAAATAAAGGGAGAGGGGAAAAAGACTGGATATATGGGATACAACTTAGAGAACTTGATCTAAGGTTTCTTGGGATTGTAGGGTGGAAAGGCATTTTTGGAGGTAGGAGAGAAGGATAGAAGGTAAGAAAGGAGTGTGTTGAAAAAGATGCTGATAGTGATAGTACCAAATGGTGTGTAGCATACAGGCAAATACTTGGGGAACAGATAAGTCGGGAAAAAGAGGATGCTGTTGTCGAGACGGGAAGTGTTCTAAGAGTAGGAATTTTCTAAAGTTAGAGTAACTGTTTTGATTAATGGGCGGTGGCATGTATGTACGGAGAGCAGTGGTCCAAAAGGAGCGTTTAATGGGACAGGCGAAGAGAAAGTGTTCTGTTGTCTCCATGGATGATCTACAGATGGTACAAGTGGCATCATAAGGGACTTTTAAGCGGCGTTGAAGGGTTTCACCAGTAGCGATTTTGTGATGGAGAACACGGTACCAGGTGTTCCGTGCATTCAAGGGAATGCGAAGGGACCAAAACGTTTTCCATCGATTGGGAGACAGGATCGGTACTGGAGCTGGTAAAGGAGTGGAGGAGGGAAGGGATTTGAAGCCCTTGGTGGATGGATCAGCCATTCGGAATTGGTGTGACTCTTGGTCGAATTGGCATGAGATTATGGAAAAAGACGATATTTGTCCAATCTTGGATAGAAAAAAATAAACTGAGTTTGAATCAATTTTGGCGGCGGCGCTGCTACTAGCTGACCCAAATGCCTTTCCGACGATGTCAATGATGATTGTGATGCTGATTAAATGGGGACAATGAAGTTGAAAGGACAATTGTTTAGCCTGAAGACTTTTTTGGGGAGTTTTGCCTCATAAAGATGTCTTTTGCAATGACAATATCTCAAAAAAAAGCGCTGTAGATCTTACACAAGTCCTGTATTTGCGCATGACCAGCTTTATGCGCCATCTTATTAAGAGCATCCGCAGCAGTGAATGCCATGACAATTCTAATATCAAAATATGGAAATTGTGGTGTATGAATGCTGCATAAAACTTGAATTCTCTTTCACATCGTCTCAATAATAGGCTTCGTTTAATATCAGTGTATAAGCAAAAAGATGCTGAGGTAGATATCTCCTCTCCTCCCCCCTCCTGGCTCTTATATAACCTTCTACTAATAATTGATTGTTTAAAACCTACTTGATGTATCAAAATGTTATAATATTTGATATAAAATGTCTTCGGCGAGAGCCCGCAGGGCGACATCGTCATCCAGCTTAGCGAGATTGATCGGCTAGTCTATTATATACTGAATATCAAACGAACGCACAGTTTAGCTTACAGAGCTCTGGCGCAATTAAATACTTGCTTCACAGGAAGATACTCGGTGCCAGTTGTGGAGCAGTTGTAAAGCAAGTGTACGCTTTTCCAATATTTCAATGTAACGTTAGCGGATGTATTTGTACTTATTGAATTACACAATGCATTGTTTACTTTTTATACAACTTTTTATTGATCAAGCTTGTATGTCTTCTCTTCAGGACATGATAGGTAACACTTGAATAATGTAAAGATAACTACTGTCTAATATGTGGCGGTATATCTCTTCATCTGTCAAACAGCTATTGACAACATCATTTAAGGCATTCCAAACTTGTTCTAGATCTGATATATTGATGCCTGACTTGTAAAACCGCTTGAAGTATTCCTTCATGAAAGCTGCAGCCATTCTCAGTACGTATTTCTCTTCTCTCCACTCTTTCTTGTTCATTTACACTCTTTGTTTGCGTAGCATCAATACTATCTAAAACCACTTCTTAGTTCTCGTCATATTTTTGTGTCTTGACAGCTCATATTTATAACCAAATCTATAAAGCGCTACTCTTATTACAGTATGTATTGATCTGGTCAATCGATGTACCATTACGAATACTCACGTTTTTCTTGTCTAGTTATTTGTGTTGAATGTCTAGCGTGCGAACAAAAGTAGAGCAAAGAGATCCGTTTACTGGCATTCAAACCAGCCATCCTCCCCAAAGAAGAGTCGTTGCTAAAGGGAAGAAAAGAGAATATGAAGCTGTAACATCCACAAATGCCATGTCCACATCAAGTTGCCAACCTGTTGTCAAAAGGCCCAAAACATTTAGTGTCTCGCCGCAGCGATTGATGAATAACTTTTTTCAAGCAATAAGGGACCCATCATTGACAAGCCTAGTATATTGGATGCACTCAAGAAGACATTACTCTCGGTGAAGAGGCTCCCCCTAGGTGTCATTACTACTGCTGAAAAGATCTGTCAATGTGCCAAAGCGCCGCTGTGCATACTAACAACGACACAAGACATCCCAGACGTGCATGTACTGCTTTGGTCCCACCTCTCATCCCACACGAACCATCAAAACAAAGGATGGTAAGACCAAGACGAGGTCCATTCATGGAGCATTCCTGTGCTTAAATCCTGCCTGTGTGTCCGTTCTCAATCACAGAGCCATTCAAGGTAGAGACAAGACATCTGCTTTGGCCATCGCTGTCTCTGGGCTTTCCACTCTCTTATTCAGGCAGCCATTGCCTGTATTCAATCCAAAACCCAGTCAATCCAACACTGGCATTATTTCCAGGACCATCTCTTTCTGCAACAGAAACGAGAAACGGGCCGGCAGTGGTGCTGCATTAGCGGACGCTTGAGTTTTCAAGGTAATAATGTGCTCAATCTGGCTTATTCAAGAGACTGCTTTACTAATTTGTCATTTATTATACTCGCAAGATTCGAGTTTTTCGCTTATAATCGCTTTCATTTGTTAGTTTTCAGACAGTTTGGACACGATTCGACCTATTTTGTCAGATTCGACTATAAAAATTGTGCGTTCATCCCATGCTTCCTAATGCATCTTTGGAGTACTTTTCAATGCGCATCCAATGATGTCAGTTATTTCATGTGTTTTGAATGAGCTTATTGAGCAATACTGAAAAATATAAAATGAGGCTTTTGTTGCAAATGTCGAGATTTTCCATAGAAAGGTCTCCCAAGAAAGTTTCAGGGGCTGCTTTGGACTAAGAGGGACATTTTCATTCAATACATATCATAGTAAAAGTTTTCATTATCAAGGTGAAAAACGCGATCGTTTGATTTTTGATGAAAACCATGAGGGATACCTCATGGTTTTTGGCCAATTTTCGACGATCCCCAAAAAAAGTTGAGTAAACGGGTCAGAATGTTAGTGCTGGATGAGAACGATTGTTTGGCGTTGTTCTGGTGGCCTAAATCAGCTTCTAACGCGAGAAATCACGACTCGACTTTACCAATTTTTGCTGAAATTTGCATATCATTGAGTAGTAAGAGGTGTTGCTAGTATGCTGTCTGCCCTTGGATCAGTTGCATCCTTTGAAGCAGACGTGGAACATCGCAGAACAGTCGGATTTACAGCTACAGCTCGATCAGAAAAGGCTCTCATACGATAATGATGGCTAAAAAGTGAAATAATGCCCACAAACGCCAGTGTTCGTTGATCGCAACACCATATTTTCCATGCAACCATGATGAATAACGCTTTTAGTTACTGCCGTCAAGATTTGATAGAAGAAAGGGCTACTGTGTAGTATAATGCAAATAGAACAAAGGAATGGTCGTTTCTGCCATCGTTTCCGTATGTAGGTCTCACAAATTACAAATGGTGTACAATGTTGTAGCACACAAACTGAATTGCAGCCACTTTAAGTGAACCTGAATCATTTAGCTTCCCTTAGATACTTTTGCGTCGTCTTTACGCAAATTGCTGCGTCATAATAAAGAGTCGAGCTTATGCCAAATAACATACAGCAACCATATAGCATCGCTTCAAGACTGATGCGGATCAAGTGCAATGCATAAGCCGCTTTGATTCCGGGCAAACTTAATATTCAGGGCACTCCCACTGACGCTCTCACGTGTCTATACAATCCTGTAGATGTTGACACTTGGTACATGGTCAATTGATCCCGTCTATCCCTATCTCTTGTATCCCCCCCCAGCAATCAACAAAAGCCCAACTCACAAATCTGATTCCATTCAGTTATTCCTTACATGAGTATGCATTCCTAATAGCCAATGCACATGAAAAAAACTCCTCTTCTTGTAGCACATTGCGAAAGGTTATTTGTTACAAATATTGTCTCATAGCTGCAAGAAATGGCAACATGAGGGCAAGGTTATATTTTTAATAATGTTGAATTAGGTTTATTAAAAAGAGTTACTTTTTTGTTGGAAAAAGTGATTTGAATGTGCTTTTTGTTGGAAAAGCAAATTTTTTGTTGAGAAAAATATATGGCAATGTTGAATTACAAGTACAAAATTAATGTTGAAAATATGATACAGAAAGAAACTAGCAAGAAAATGATATAATGTTGAATTTTGAGAGGGTAGGAAGGAAGATTAGTATGTTGAATATAAAGTGAAGATGTGGCAGGGGGGGGGAGTATGTTGAATATGTAAAAAGGAGTATGGGGTTATGTTGAATATTTATAAAATGTTGAATTTTGGTTTGGTTGTTTGGTTTGGTTGTTGTTTGTTTGCTTATTGACCGCGAGCAGCTTTATCAAGTAGTAAACTACGAAGATATTTGATCTCTGATTCCAGGTTGTTCACACGATCTTGGAGCTTATCAGATTTCTGAGTCATTTCGCGCACAGATTGCTCCATAGCTTGTTCACGCATCTTCTTCTTGACACGGAAACGAGCGCTTGCAGCTGTGTTGCGACGACGTTTATCTTCATCAGGGTTTGTGGGTTCTTCTGAGCTCTTTTTAACTTCTGCGATTGTTCTCTTGGGAGCGGCGGTCTTCTTTGGAGAGGGAGGAGCAACAGACATAGCGGATGAGGAAGTAGCAGTAGCCAAAAGAGAGGACAAGATGTTAGCATTGATGTTTGTAGTAGGAGGTTTAGGTAACAAGACTTGACGTGCGATGGGAGTAGGAGCAGCAGCAATAACATTGGGAGCTAGAGCAGGCAGAGCAGGAGCCAAAGGACGAGGTTGAATGCGTTGCTTCTTGATAGCAGGAGGAGAGGAGGGGGTCTTTGCAGCAGCAACAGCTTTGGTGGGTTCCAACTTGACCTCTTGTTGTCTTGGTAGCTCATAATCGAGGTAGTTTACAAGAGTATCATAGGTGACAGGGTCCAGACCAGAGGCAGATTCGAATTGGGCAGCGGCAGCGTTGGCAGGGCTGTTGTTTGCAGTTGTCTTGGGAGAGGATTTGCTCTTTTCTTCATCGTAAATGCCAACACCAGGCTTGACATCGAAGGTGAATTGTGCGTTACTCTAAAATCGGAATATTGATTATTAATACAGGGTAGCTATATAAGAAAATTTTTCAAGAGAGCTTTACCCATAAATCTAATTCATCAGCAACATCTTTCTCTGATTGAACCACTTCGCTTGGAGAATCAAACACTAGAGAGTCTAAGCTTGATAAGTATGAGTCGTAAGGGGAGTATGACATTTCTATAAAACAAAATTCAACAAAATTTTATAAAAATAAAAAAACGAAACGAAAGAAAAGGGCAAAAAAAAAAAAAAAGCCTGATGGAACAAATAATGATTTAAACATGGTCTCACTATTGGAGCTCGGTCAATCAATCTCCTTGATATGAGTAACATTTACAAATACAGCCTATCAGTGGCTAAAATTGGAGGAGGGAGATCATCCAGCCTTGAGTGTGGTATATGCATCATGGAGCATGGGATGCCAGCACGTTTGCTCCACAGCGATCTTGTTTGATCATATTGAGCAGTGTGGCAAGAAAAAGGGTTGGCAAAGAGGACCTCTTTCACTTCTCTACTCTTCTTTTACACTGTTTGTATTACAACAAAAACCCTTGCTCGCTTAGTTATACCAATACAAAGCCTTTGATGATTCATTTTTCTCTCCCGATAACCTGTAATCACGATTTAGCCACCGAATCCTGGATGTAGATCCACCTGGATCCAGAATTAACATGAAAAAGGGTTTATTTAGGAAATGCTATCGAAAAGAAGGATGATGTATATAGATGCAAATTGGTAACTGGAGTTTAAGGGGGAGGGGGGCCGGGTGGAGAAGGGACTCATTAATGGTAACTGTATAACAAAAAGCAAGATTTGAAAGCAAATGAACTAGTAAAAGAAAAAGAGTATGATTGAAATCATCATGACAGATATCGTACAATGCATGGGAAAGCTTGACTTTACACAGGATTTGCTTATACGCTATAAGAAATTGAAATGTTGTCAGTGCCGTTGTTGCAAATAGAAGATTAAAAACCACTTTACTGGAGCGTATAATACTTCGGGTACATTCTTGTAGGTATTATCACCAAAGTCAGCATACAGTTTGGTGGATGGTATTATCTCAATAGTCGAGCAAGAGGAAAGCAAATGATACAGCGAGTATAATACAATGATAGAGATGACTATTGACATGGCATATTTACGACGGCGACGGTTCTCTATGAATGGTGTTAATGAATGCTGCTTGATATACTCATCTGGTGGGCTTGATTGCTATTTACTCGAGATGTCTGTGCTGGGTACGTTTGCATAAACGGATTTACATTTGATACAGTGTGTTGGATATCCGTTTTCTTTCAGCCATTGACTGAAGCACTTTTGATGAGCATATCTACATCTTGTATAAATTAGCTCTTCTCAGTTGTGCATGAGTCATCGGTAAGCTCACAAGGTAGAATACGTGGATGATTGGCATTGGCATGGCTGGAATAAGTCATCATCGTCATCAGTGGTTACTTTGAAACAAATTCGACACACCTATTATGCTTTTTGATTAGCAAGCACAAATAAGGGAAATGATTCATGCTGATTTGATATCGTACTGTATCTAAAGGGGTTTCTGTCTGGTCATCTTCTAATATGAAAGCATTTTGTCGAACTAAAGAAGGTGGTTTGTATATTGGCATAGCTCTTGGTAGTGTCTGTTAGGGATTGGCAACAAAAGAGAGTAGAAATACTTACTGTTTTTTTGGGATTATATATGATTTTTTTTTTTATTTTATTTTTTTTGGGTGGGTCTGATGAATGAATGAGGAGGATGAGAGCGAAGGAGGAAAAAAAAAAAATTGGCTTGATTTATATAAAATACATCACACACTTGTAAGAAAAATAAAAAAAGGTATATACAAAAGAGAGAAAAAAGGGGAATAAAGATAATGAGGCGGGTTTCTTTTTAATAGCTTGAATGCTCTATATAGTAAACAGCAGCTGATTTAGTTAATTAAAGGTGTGTTTTCGTCTGCTGGCCCTCTTTTCTTCTCTTGATCCTTCTTGCTAAATAGCTCCTTCCAAACACTCACAAACAGAAATTTGATATCTCTGAATAGGTTGGCCTTGTACTTGTGGACTCGTTCAGGACGAAGACGATGCTTGGTATCAATCATATGATGGATACAAAACTACAAAATGTTAGCTTGCAATGACACAATCACACTGTCAATTACTTACGAATACAACAGACAGGACGCCCAAGCTGGTGGTAGCTGACACCATAAAGGTTACAATCTGCTGGTATCGCACGGCGTTCATGATGGGAGCACCACCCAAAATTTGACCTGTCATGGCACCAGGGATGGTGATCAGTCCAATGACAGACATGGAGTTGATACTTGGAAGCATAGCCAATCGAATAGCTTCAATAGCAACAGCTCGACCCGCCTCCCATCTGCTTGCTCCAAAGCTCAAGTAGGTTTCGATCTGCTCTGCTTGTTGGCCCACTTTGGTCAAGCAGGTAGATAGACCTACTGCCATTGCGCCTGCTGTGATACCCAGTAGTAAACCAATTGTAGGAATGAACAATTCAGGGAGCCAGAATTGCTGCTGATTCATGGCATAGCGAGTGCCCAAAATGCCAATGAAGATGGTGGAAAATGCAGTGGATAACAGCACAGATGGAAACTAGATGACCACTTAGCTTGTGTTGGCATTCGATATTTCGATTCAACCTTACCATTCGACTAAACGACCAATCCGATTTATTGTAAACCGTTTCACATGAGCTCAGAAAAATCAACGTAACTACCCAGAATTTAGTATCACATTGCAGATGGTTACATTCTGCCCTAATATACACTGTCAATATTTACATGTCATCAGCATCACCAGGATAGGGTTCTTTGCGTTGAATACGCTCTCAAGAATCTTTCCCTATAGCAATTTGTTTGTTGTTAAAATCGGCTTGTGTTCCATCTGATAAAGCTACGAACCATGATTGTCAATTGCACTATACAACGTATGGAGCTTGTCAATAGGGACTTTTCAAGTTTGAGTCCAAGCGACATGGATATAAGGCCTATAATCGAAAGTCGGCGATTGAGTGACATGTGCCATTATCATGCAAATAAATGTGCATTTGCTAACCATTGACAAGGATGAAGGATGATGCTACAGCGACATTGTACCAAGAGAGATTGGGCACATCATTCTCGCCTTGTTGCAATATGGTTAAAGTTAAGTTTATCAGCGACATGTCGGGAGGTGAGGCGCAACCGTTGCAAGTGCAAGAAAGATAAATACAAGGAATAACGAAAAGGAAAACGATGGGATAGGGGTCTTCCATTACCAAAAGTTTTATACTTGTTTTTGCTGATTGAACGTCCGAATGACGTCTTGTAAAACGCATTTCATAATGATGCGACATGAACAGAGTCAAGTTTCATCAAATAAACGAGAAATGTAACAAGATGTTTATCTGATTCTTTTCCAACTGTGCCCATATGTTCATATTGAATATGGCTCATCAAGCATCAGCATCAGCAACAACAAACAATCTCCGTCGAACTCTCTTTTCTGGCAAGCAAAGAACATCCACGTTTTACTTCTAAAACAAGCTTGTCAATATCGCTCTGTACCACCATGTTCCGTACAAACAGGTGGCAGGTACAATCCGCTTGAGAGTATATAGCCTCCCTGATTTGTTTGTCTCCTCTTTTTTTCTTCTTCCTTCTTTCCTCTTTCTCTCTTTTCTTTGTATATACACATATATAGCATTTACGTAGTAAGAATGTAAGTTTTGTTAAGCTTATTTCAACATGTGTTGTATATAAAATACCTCAAAATGCATACCAAACATTCTCTTTCTCTTCATTCTCTTTCTAGTTTCTACAAGCATGACACAACAAACGTTGGGCATCATCTCTTTGAACGTCAAGGACGATATTTTAAACAAAATATCAACCACCTTGAAAGTCAAGATTGTGTATGAACAGCAATTTGACCTGACTGCAGCAACATCGCTGGAGGTATTGGACAAGACCATTAGCAAAACGTAAGCCTTATAAGCAGACACATCCTATCAGCTCTCTAACACAAAGAAGCAGCCTGCCTGTCTATGGTTTTATTTTAGAAGGCTCAAATGCAATCAGAGATTGGTCTCAGATCACAAGCAGCACTGCATCTCTTTCAAAAAGGTAAGAGTGAATTGGAAATCTGTGCATGGGACACTTGGAACTCAAATGAGGGATACATGTAGACGTGGCACATTTGTACATGCAAGCACAGTGGAAAATGCTCAGCACCAAGTAGGCTGGTTCAAAAACCTGGTTTTGAATGATTTGTCGGTAGAAAAGAACACTTCCACTACCAGTAGTACGAGCAGCTCCAGTATTCCAATCAAAGTAAAGAAACAACAAAAGCCCAAATCAGTAAACGTTTCAGACAATTCCTCTCAACGAAAACCAGTGCGTAGCGGTACGACAGCTCAACAGCAATCACCTCCATCTCGTCCTCTAGCCACTGCTGCTAGAAAGCCTGCCGTATCTACTAGTAACCGTAGCAAGATTCCAAATGCTAATGTAAAAGCAAAACCTGTAACTGTAAGTCAACGTGCTTTTTTTTTTACTAAATATCAGCTCCTAAATTTCATTTCAATAAATATAGACTCGTCCTACATCAGCAATAGCAACAGCAGCTAAAGTAAAGACACCTGCCACCAGTTCTGTCACACCAACGAAAAGAGTAAATGACGGCATGAAACCAGCAAGTGGAAGAAGAGGTAGCCTGGTAGCATCTACACTAGCAGCATCATCCTCAAAAAGGTTATTGAGTACCACATCCAAAGGAGGTGTTATCAAAAATACGCCGCCTGTTTCTGTATTGACTGGACGCACAAGAAAGCCAAGTCGACTCACAGAAAAGAGGCCTGTATTAGTTGCTGCTTCTGCTGCCCCAGAAAAGATTGATAGCGTCAAAGAAGAGGAGCAAACAGAGGAGATCAAGCCAGAGATCCAACAAGAGGCCTTGTCATCACCATCTACACCTACGCCAACAACAACAACAACAAGACCATTTGAGGAGGCTGTTGAACATGCTGAAGCTCAGGAAGCTCCATCTGATACTGCCATGATCCAAGAACAACATATTGTCTCTTACCCATCTACTTGTTCTAGTGCAGCTACGGATGAACATGATGCAGAAGTCGCTGCAACTACCAGCAAAAAGGATATGATGATTGCATCATCCACACAAACAAGTGCCATCAACACTAGCTCAGTACCTTTGCTTTGCAATAGTGGTCGATCCTCATTTTCTCCTACTTCCATTGCCTCCTTACCTAGACCTGAAACGCCCGAAGTAGATCAACTGAGGCTTCGTTTTGAAACCATCATTCAAACCTCTACACCTGTTGGTAATACACAAGATGTTGTTGCCAGACGACCTTCATCCAAACTATCTCAATACGAGCTTGCCTCCCGCATCAAGGAGATGAAGCCTAGAGGACCCGTTGGTAGTAGAGTCAAGAGCATGGTGGAGCTCTTTATGGATGAAAACTTGAACAAATGGGAGTTCTAATTTCCAACTTTAACACACTTACATGTCATATATATATATACCATTACAAATCAACAATTCACCCATACTATATACATTGATACCTCAAAATTTAAAAAAGAGAAAAAAATTAGAAAACCTTTAGAAAACCTTTCTTTATTTATATTTTACTATACATACCCTCTCTTTATCATAAAATAAAATTATATCCATTTACCCATCTTTACTTGACATTGCAATGAATGATGGTTGTTGTTTGGGCGATGATGATGAACAAAGATGTCGAGATGAAAAGACCAGCTTTGGCATTTGACTACAGATGTTAGCCATCCTAAAATCAGAGTCTGGAGGAGGAGGTATCCAATTGCTGATATTGCTCTTTTGATGCAGAGATTGTCATCGCAAAAGACACCTTTAGAAGGAAAATTTTCAAAAAAAAAAAAAACTCTTGAGCTAAGCAATTGTACGTTCAATTCCATGATCCCCATTTCATCAGCATCGTAATCATCATTATCATCATCAGAAACGCATTTGAGCCAGATAGTAACAGCGCCGCTGTCGCCGCCGCCAAAATTATTTGAAACTCAGTTAGTGTTGTCTGTTCAAGATTGGACAGATTTCGTTTTTTTTTCGACTTCTTTAATCTGTTTTGCGATATTTGACTATACGAACTATAGTTATCATCAGATGCTTCCTAATACATTCTAAGAGTACTTTTCAAGTCGCTTCCAATGGTAATAATTGTAATAGATACTTCAACTGAAATTACTGAGCAATTTGATAAAATTTGAAATGAAGTTTTTAGCGAAAATAGCCATATCTTGCATATGAAAACCTCATAAAAGTGGTTTCAGAGGTTGCTTTGGATCGAGAGAAACATTTTGATCTGATATATACCATAGTACACGTCGTCATTTTCAGGGTGCAAAACGCGACCGTTTGATTTTTGATGAAAACCATGAGGGGTACCTCATGCTTTTTGGTCGATTTTTGACCATATTTTTTTTTTTTTGGCTCAAAAAGTTGAGCAAAGGCATCAGGAAGTTGCTACTACTCAAGTGCAATTGTTTGGCGTTATCCGGGTGGCTCAGAAAGGTCTACATGTCAAGATATGAAGCTTGAAAGTTGTCAAATTTGGTTATGTATTGATTTATAGCTTTTATTTACGCGGTATGAATCATATCTTTGGCAGCAGTACTTTTCTGGAAGAGCAGTTCTACAACATGGCAACTTCTAACTCGAGTAAGAAGCACATTGGTTTTGGTAAAGCTAAGTCATGCAAATTTTGATGCGCTATGTTGGTGGTAAGCTTCTTGATACTGAAACCAAGAAGCCAAATTTACTGCTTGATGACTATGGTTTTGCAGGTTTGCTTCGCTACGGTAAAAACCCTCTTAAAATCAATGTTACCAAATGTTGCCTTGATACCACAAACCACTTAATCCACAACTAGATAGTTGACAAGAAATCGCTTGAATTAGATATGTTATGTTCTTGGAAAAGGGCTATTAATCTCTGATTTGCTACGACGACGCTTTTGTGTTCAAGTTTTCTAGTATGATCTGACATGGACTGGGTACGCAGGAGAGATCTGCAAAGTCGTCAAAACGCCAATATTGAACCAAGCTGCGTCGCCTTGAATACAGCCAAGCCATGCTCCAATGGTGATGTCGTGGACTATTTGGCGTCAATCAGTGCCCAGCATGAACAGTAGGTCCAACGTAGACAGACATTTACAGCAGTTACTCATAGATGCTCGATAGAATCTATACTTACATGTGCTCATTCCGTCACAGAGAGAACAAACCGTATGTCAATTTAAACAGAAACCAAGCAAATGATTTCATGGCTCTTGTTGTTCTTCGCCGAACAAACACAGATGAACCCCTCAAATTTGCCAACACATCATTGAAGAAGCAACGGAAGAAGAAGACAAGTCCTCCCCCCCCCCAGCGTAGACAGTTGCACGACCAAGATAATAACAGACGTACAGTGGTCGCCTACAGTGATATAACAATCCGAGTAACGATAAAAAAGCACGCGCCAGTGCCTATCAAGGTATGCACTGAAAGAGATTTGATTCATTAATGCTTATATATCATTTGATCAATATAGAAGGTACAAAGAGGTATTGCTACCAAAGTCATCGTCATTCCAACAGACGAATTCTGCACTTCTGTCTTTTGCTGCAAATGCCCCCCCCAGAAGACCTCAACTTCGATACTCTAACAATCCTCGTGTCAGTCGCCACAAGTAATGTACATTGCAATCCTGCCATTGTGTCTTTATATTAAATTATGTCTCTCGTCATTGCCGAAAACAAAAGACGAGAATACCAACCGGCGTTCTTAGAGAGGATGGTAGTCATAGTAATACTTGAAGCATCAAAGTCTGCTTGAACGATGAATCTCATGTCTTGCATAGGGCAAGTGGATGTCCTGATCTTGAACCTCCTAGTAAGTCCCCAATCATTTAATGTCAAGGGAGGCTATACCAAGGGGTTGAATAGGACGTATCTACCCCATTTGCCCTTTGAAATTGTGCCCGCAATGTCCAGAGAATGATGGTGCCGACATTGTAAGTGTAGCAGCACTAGCATTATTTCAGTGATGCTAGCAAGCACATTAGATTTGGAATCGAGATACCAAAGGTGCCCTTAATGTCAGAGGCACATTTACAAGGTACATCGTATCCAACCTCAACCTGGCCTCTCGCCCCGAAGAACTCTCTTGTCGTCGTAGAGGTCAACAAAACCCTGAAGGCTAGTTATGCTCCAAAAGCAGTGAAAAGAAGCCTTGATAATCAAACTAACCAATAATATCTGTTAGTCTTCGGAGGAGTTTCCCGGTGTCAAACATCTGTTGTTTATATAAATTTCGTCATTTCTACTCCATCACATCATTTTGTTTTCTATTGCCACCCATATCCTCAGTGATTAACTGTATGCTATTATGCTCAATGGCCATCCATCTACCGAGAAAACTGAGGGATCATTCATCCATGATGGCTGCAAATGTAATGTGCCCATACAAAAACGCAAGATTTTAGTTTAATTAAGCCTCATGAGGAACACAACCAATTACATGATCAAAACCACATCTCAATTGATTGAAGACCAGTTTGGGCCCATCAAGAGAAAGTTGGAAAAAAAAAAGTTACTCATCCTATTCTTTCTTTCTTTCTTATCAAATCGATTGTAGAAAATCGTAATTGGAATACGTTTTCGTTGCATATATCAATCGAACAAGCATCTACTGTATTTATGTTGAAAGCATTGTTGTCATCTTCATCCTTGTTTCTTTTCTTTCTATAACTATTTCTATACCCTCTTTCTCTTCGTTCACATAGCAGCCTACCAAAAAGATATATATCCTTCCTCTTTCTACATACACAACAGTACCGCTTTTCTTGTAAATTACAAATACCCTCGAATGTGTAAGTGGATTGTGCAAATTGGATCGTCTAGAGTTCATGTCAAATAGTAACCTGGTATCAATCGTAAAGCACCCAGTCGTAGAACCCGCAAATCCAACACAACAAAAAAATCAAAACCCAACAGAGTAGTAACAGAGGATTCTTCTGATGAGAGGAGCTCTGATGCCGGCTCAGTAACGAGGTGTATCTGTGGACAAGGACGTAAGTAGTAGCCTTCTATCTATTCTCTTTCTCTCTCTCTCTTTTTTTTTCGTATATTTATTATTTATGTTTTACCCGGGATCACACACTTTACACACACTTGCCTTCACACACACACACACGCACGCACTACTAGTACCCACACTATTTTCCTACTAGTGATGCATATATTGAATCATATTTTCTCTCTCTCTCTCTCTCTCTCTCTAGACAATGTCGGCCTAATGGTGCAATGCGATAAATGTGAAGTTTGGCAGCATTGTGAATGCATTGGATTAGTTCAAGCAAGATTACCTGATCAATATTTCTGTGATCAATGCCAACCCGAGAATCATCAAATTGTCAAAACTTCCTCTGGACGGTAAAGTGTGCATACTGTTTCTAGAGGATGGAATGCTGGTATTCATCTTTCTGTGTCTATAGTTCAAAACGTCTGTACAATGCTGGTCTGGTATCAACATCTAATACATCTCCGTCTCTGGCCAGCTCCGACAAGGAAGACACATCCACATCCACATCCACCACAAAACGTTCTGCTAAGCGTCGCAAGAAAGCGACCGCAGCAGTAACAGCCGCTGACAAAGCTGGCTGTCATTCACCCCCAAAGACACCCTTAATGGAGGCAAAGATGGAACACCCGTCTCCAGTGATGAATACAATAGAAGAATCGCCTGTGATGGAGGAACGCTCAACGAGGTCACGACGCACAAAAATACCAGCTGATACAATTGAGCAAGGAACCATCACTACCACAGCATCAGTATCAGCAGCGACATCACTGATACCTGAGCTTGTGAAAAAAGCCTCATCTTCTTCCTCTCCTTCTTCTTCTGTCTCTCCTAGTCCAGCAACAACGACAACGACACCGATAACATCGACCGAGAAGAAATCTACTAAAACGAAATCCAACAGTAATAGACACAGTAGCAGCAGTGCTACACCACAACAACAAATATTGGATGATTTTGGATCTCCTTCAGCACAACACCATCATCATCACACCACAGCATCCTCATCCTCATCCTCCACGCCTTACTGGAATTTTGCAGATGGAAGACCCATGAGAGAAAGCTCGCCGCCTGCCAAGATCAAATATCCCAGTTCTAAAATGTCCTTTTCCGACATGAACAAGAGAGCCAAACAAATCATGGAATGTATTACCAAGATGCAAACAGAAGAACTGAAAAGACTGCCACCGCCTACACTCAATTCCAAGCATCCTGATAACCATACCCTTTCTCTCTTTCAGGAGGTAGACCCACAAACTACGGCTCCATTCAATCGACCCAGATCTCTATCCACTTCTTCTACCTCTTCCTCGCTGAGCAGTGCGTCTACGGTTCCCCTGCTGGATGACTACACTACCACAACCACCAGTGCCAGCAGCAGCCCATCTACCCCTATACCTTACAAACACTTTCCTCATCAACCCACACCCATAGTACAGCAACATTCACCAGAAGAAGAGACGTCCATAGAAATCCTGGAGCGTATCAGTCGAGAAATCGCCAAATTTCAGAGAAAGTTTGGCATTGTGTATCAAAATCAGCCTCACCATCCACCTCCTCACCACCACCATCATCAGCCAGCACCACATGTTGGTACCAATGGACATGCAAAACCGTCCACCACTTCAAAATAAGAATAAATAAACTAATATTTGCTTGGATAAATGCTGTACTCAAGTGAGGCAAATTGGACCCAGGAGGGAAGGCTTCTGGCGATGCGTGAGAATATAGGATGAACACTTGACATGTCTATATTTTTAGAAGCTTTGCCGACCCAAAACTGCCATTGCAACATGCTTCTGTTTGGTTCGGAAATCATTGTACGACTTGGATACTGGTAGATAGCGCTGATGACAGATGATGTGAGGACGTTCGTCGAATGTGCAATGCGCAAAACATTCAATCATTTACTATACTAAAGATGTGTCATACTGTCTTGAGGATAAGCATCTATAGACTGACGAATTAGGAGCTTCGAAATAAGAGTGGTTTACAGAAGACAAGCATCGTCAAATACCCCCCCCCCCCACCAAAGAACTTGATTTCAGAGCCATGCATATGTTCACCCGAGGTTTATTTGAAATAATCCGTGTGCTTGGAAACTGCTTTCTGCCATAGTTTAATTGCTGAATAAAAGGTTGCTCTTCTGTTGAATGGCCGCAGACATCTCTCTTTCCTTTGAGCTTCTACACCTCGATTTAGATAAGCCACTATTGAAAAAATAATCAGACCCGGTCCTCTTTCCTATCAAGATTTTTTCCCTCTCTCTTTTCCCCCTTCATATTATAGATACTACACATCATGTCCGCTAGCAATATCTTTGTACAGGGTGGTGCTGATAATCAAGTAATGTATTCACGCGTAAATTGGTGATTTTTGCTGTAAACGACAGAGAAAAGAAAAAGTCGAATTGTATCACATCAAAGCACGCAGCCAAGAACTTTAGATAGACATGTTGCAACTCAACATCAACCAACATACTGCAATCAGCACAACGTAGATAGCACCAGTGATGGACAGTTCGACTCTTCTCTATCGCAGCAGAAATTAGCAGCTTGCACACAGTAACTAACACATTTGTGTCGACATAGATTACTGATTTAGCTCTCTACATCTCCAAATTGAGAGGCGAGGAAGGTGACTCCCAAGCACCCTATGTTCAACACATTGGGGCTTTACAAAAGTCTGATAAGAAGGATACTGTCTATGCCGAGCTTGCCAAGGACGCTTCCATCTTGTTGACCAAGAACGATAGAGGTACAGATGGGCGAGTTTGATAAATAAACACTTTACTAATGCTTGCTTGTTTCAACCTTTCATACACATCATCACCTGCACTATCACCAATCACATACCATTGCAACAAACAGAGGTCGAAGGTGCTTTCAACTTGCTCATTGTTACAGTTTTGAGTGCTCCTCAATCTTTTATTTCTTCTGCTGTTGAAGGCTTGGTTGACACTTTGACCAAGACTGAGAGCAACAAGACCAGCTTGAAGCAAAAAATGTAAAGTGTTTGATTCAGAAGGAATTTGGAACACATTTGATATTGATGCACATTTCTCATCCATAGCTTACTCAACTTGTACAATGCCCTTCCCGGTAACTCACCTCTTCGTTACAATGCTTTTGTCGGCTTAGTTGATGCCACTGCTCAAGCTGATGAACTCGAATCACTCTATCCTCAATTAGAATACATTGATGCCTGGACCAAGCAATGGGGCATTGACCAGCAAACTCAACGCAACTTGTATGATTATTTGAGCCAAGTGTTGCTCAAGGCTGGAGAAGAGTAAGTGGATAGTAACTGGAGAGTACTGCGACACATGATTGACGTTTTTGTATGAATGATAGCAAGTTGGCTCTTGATTTCTCATTAAAGAAATTGGCTATTCTTGATGAAAATGATGCCGAGACCACTACTCTCGCCAAGGACGTTGTTCTCCGTGCTGTTTCCATGGAAAACTACTACGCTTTCGAAGATCTCTTGCAATACAACTCTATTCAAAAACTCAAGGGTACTGAAGAATTCGAATTACTCGACGTCTTTTTGAACGGTACCTTGTCTACATACCAAACCTTCGCCACTGCTCACACTAGCTTGATCAAGGATGCTGATAAGAATATTCACAAGATGCGTTTATTATCTTTGGCCTCTCTTGGATCCGAGAACCTCGCTCGTGAATTGACTTATGCTGAGATTGCCAACAACCTCCAAATTCCCGAAGACGAAGTCGAGATGTGGGTGATTGATGTTATTCGTGCTGGTCTCGTTGAAGCCAAGTTGGATCAACTCAACAAAACTGTCATTGTTCATCGCAGCATCTATCGTGTTTTCGGAAAGGAGCAATGGAAGAAATTGAGCACAAGTTTGAGTGCCTGGAAGGACAACTTGAACGAAATTTTGGCTGTTGTAGGCAATGCTAAATTAATTGCTGGTGGTGCTTTACAAGGTGGTGCTGCTTCTAATGTCGTTGTTGAAGGTGAAGCTAAATAATTTATCCTTCTCTCTTGTTAATGCTCTTTCTTTTTTTTTTATCACTCCCTCCCCTCTATCCCACAACAAACACACTCTAAATACACTTTTTCACTTTTTTTTTTTTATTATACATTTTGTCACAAAATAAAATATGGCTCGTTTTTTTCTATATAGACTCAAGCGATTATATTTATTATTAAAAGTAAGGTTAATTGATATTTACAGAAAGTTGTTCTTTATACAAGTGATGTGAGTGGGTGTGTTTGTGATGGTCGTTCAAGTTTGGGAATCCTTTTTTCGCTTCATCTTCTTGTTCAAAGGCAAAGTGGATGACTTGCGCTTGCGCATTTCAGCTGTGCAGTCAGAACAGTACCAAGCACCTTTTGGTGGCTCTTCTAATCCCACACAATCCATATGAAACCACTCGTAGGGACAGTTCTAAACATGATGCATCTTGTCATTAAAACAGAAAGTAAACTTGTCATTATAGAACATGTTACCTCGCCATCACATGCCACCATCTCCCCATAAGATACTTGCTGGCAGAAGCAATACAGAGGCTCGCCTTTGTCTGATTCACGGGCCTCCTTCTTCTTTCTTTTCTGATTTCTATTCGCCATAATAGTCTGAATGTCAGAGTCTATTTTGACAGGCGGTGTATGCACAACAGTAATTGGTTTAGGCTCGATCTTGTCCTCTGCCACTAATTTTATAGGTTTTTGCACAACTTGCTCTTGCTCCTTTTCTTCCTCGTGTTGTTCATTCTCATCATGATCCAAATCCTCTGCCTCCTCTTCCTCGTCTTCAATGTCATCTTCTTCGTCCTCTTCACCTTGGTAGTCATCCAAATTTGTCAATATACCTACCAAATATTTAGCTGCAATGTTTGTGCGCAGTTCTAAACAAACAAAACAAACCATACTTTTTCTACCATGTGGTATAGTATAACTACGCGTTGTAAGCGATGGTTCTGGAGCATGCTCGGGATGATCTTGATCGTGCTTGTCGAGGTCCCTTTGGAGTCGTAGCAAGTGCCGATCGACCTGATAAAATCGTCAGAAAAGTAGGGGAATGGATGATCACTTCAAACTTACTAATTTCAGTGCTTCTTCTGCTAATGAGACTCTTTCGTTAGCCAAATCCTCTAGTTTGTTGTAGTCGTTTTGTATTCTCTGAATAATAACAGGCTGGTGCTTCAGGAGCTTTTCTCTCTTGTCTACTTCCTGTGTAAACCATTGTCTATGTATCTTTGTGAGATCATGTTGGCCAGACTTGATTCTCCTTTCAGGAGCTATTTTGATTCCAAGTCGAATTAATTAGTTGCAGATGACAAATGCTTGTGCTTTATCATATACCTTTGGCCTGATCATATCTATTTCTTATTTCTGCCCAATGGTACTGTATTTCGCTCGGAAGATTTTCTAAACCTACGGAAAACAGATGGGTTTGATTCAAGGGTCATTGATCAAGCTTAACTCGTCATTTACTTTGAATGTACTCTTGTAGGTATCGCCCAGAATCCTCATGAATATCTACCGTGTTGTTGTCCATCTTGTCTATAATTAAAGACCTCAATTGATTAATTGCATGCGCAAAGAAGCAGATGATCGAAGACGAACGAAATTTATGTGTGGAAAAAAAAAAAGAGAAAAGAAAAAGAGAGGAAAAAAACATCCATTGTTTGTAAGCAGAAGCTTAAAAAAGGAATTTAATCTCCCTTAACTGCTCTGTCAATTGAGGTAGCTCTCGATGGCAATGGAGACATGGGCGTATATTTATCCATGCAGTACTTTGACAGTTCCCTATAGTACTGACAGTGTCAGTAATATTATTTATGTTGGTAATGCTGTTTATTTAGTTATGAGAGGGATTATATGAAAATATGCTACATGTAGGTATGAAAGTGTCAATGGAGGTGTGCCAATCGCTGGGATCAATCGAATCAGGTCGTATATTTCATAAGCTTGATCATTGGAGAGGGTAAAGGTCTTCTGGAGTTATGTTGGAGCAGTAAGATACCGGGTCCTGGATGACAGCTGGCATCCCCATACCTTGTCGTACGAATGGCGGTCGGCGAGAGCTTCCTCTTTTTCTTCTGTCGAACTTTGTTTATTATTTCGTCGACCTTTTCCTACAAAAAATCAAAACAAGAGTGAGGAAGGTTGTGGTTGTTGATGTGGTAAATGAGAATAGCCAGTAGCTCCTCTCATCACCAACTCCCGCTGCTCTTTCCTGTTGCACGACAACAGTTCACAACAGTATGGCTCGCAAACACCCTTGATATGATGTACAAATCCATCGACATGCTACACAGGAACTTTGAAGACGTCGTGATCAACTTGCCCACTGTTTTCATGCTACCTCTATTCATCGTCATATATTTCGACCCACTACTTGGTACCAGATTGCCTTGCAAAATCCACTCAATGACTTCCACTGGCTGTAAATCCAAATAGCTTCGGCAGGTATGGCCTTCTGCTTCCGTCATTCCTCCATCCTTCAATCTGATCTTCTGCATAGTAATCATAGAATGCGTGTAGTAGGGTGTTTATCTACGCTGTTGAAGCTTAGGTCTTGATCAGCATTATTGATTCCAACGTTCTAGTTGTCACTAGTTTCCTCGATAATACGTCGTCTGGAAGTTGAAGGCCCCTTCATGGAACTATTGCTTCGTTTTGCCTTTTAAGTGCTCAGTTAGGAAAAATGATATTCAGACATCATTCTAAGCTGGCATGAATACAAACCATAATTCTCTCCACTGTTTCGCTTTCCGTTATTCTACTTTGTTCGATTGATAGAGCATTTGCTGGCGAACACGCTTGCTGTACCAATCTTCTTGCGTTCACTTGCAGACGGTGGTTGAGCTCCTGCTTGAAATAATACTTGATGAATTGCGATTTGATCCTGTCTTCTTTGTAAAAAATCCAGCAAGCGTTTACAATAGCCAGCACGAAGCTTCTCGGTAGGCGAGGTGTTTCGATCAGTTTGCGACAAGAGCACCTGGATATCAACCATCTCCTTGTGGAATTCGTCTGAGGATTACTCCCAAACATCAGCGCTGTTGGTGAAGTAGCTATCAATGACTTTTTTTTTTTTTTTATAATTGCTCCACTCTTGTGCTTGATCCACCAGCAAACCATCAGGGTCTCTTGTTTGACTCTTGTTTCTAGAGGTATCGTGGTGCTTCCCTTGAGCTTTAATAATGTAGGCTTTTTTTTTTTTACCACCATTTCAGATTGTAAAGTTGAAAAGAGAAGAATTTCTCTGGCCCACCACCACTATCACTGACATCAAAGAGGCTCTTCTGTCCCTGGGGTTTTCTGGTATCTGGTACTCCCAAGTCAAAGACATCCGTCCATACAGAATCCTACTCATCACCCTGTCTCAAATATGGCTTGCCCATGTGCGATTTGTATTTGACAACACCATCCTTGTCCCTGAGGCGATTCTGGTGAATATCCGCTCCACTGTTCGCCAGGCAGTGGAAGAGGATCAAATCCATTCTTGTAGTTTAGATAGTTTAGATAGTTCTCTAGTTTAGATTAGTTAGTATTTTATGTTCTTATAGTATTTCTTCTCAATTGCACCCGCCTCTTCACTCTGACCTATTACTCTCAGTGTACGCGGATCAATCAATAAACAAAATATAAAAGAGAAGCAAAGATGAAGGAAAGAAAAGGGTATTTCCTGATAAAATATCCACACTGATATTGCAACATCTCACGTCACTGGGTGCTTCCCCAAAACATGATAATATCTATTCATCTTGAAAAACTTCTTTTATTGCAAAAGTCTGAATCAGTCTGTTTTCCTAGTTGATAGCCACCACACGCTCCACCGGATTTGGCACAGCTCTTACGTACCAGTTTTTGGCGATTCTCATCTTAAGCACACATTGGTTTGTCAAGCATTCTTCTGTGTGTTAGCGAAAGGACATTTTGGATAGATCAGCACTTGACTCCAAAGACAGCAAACTCATCCTATTCATTTTTGCGCATTGCATTTGTAATGCTCTATTGTTTTTTCATTACTTACGCGATGTATCTCTATTGTGTACTCACATCTATTATATCCCAAATCGAATACAACACTTCAACATTTTAGACGTCTACCTCTGTTATACCCTCATTTGTCTTGGATGTGAGTCAAATGAAACCCTAAATTCTCTTGTTCATCATAAACTTGATATAGCGGCATCGGTTGAGGAAAGCTTTCTCTACTACTTCAATGAAAAGCTCTCAGAAGTAAAAAAAAAATATGCAACTAATTTTTCTCAACAGAACCTTGATGCAACGGATACTGAATAAATGCTTCAGTTGACCTGATGAGGGTTCGCAACTCATTCAATGTAAATAAGATGATATTTTTATAACCAACGAATGGATCCGTAGAATACCTCCTCTATGATCTGTATCCCAGTGTTCCACTCTATTTCCTTTTTTGATACAGGGTTTGTACGTATGCACTGAACAGATGTATGATACTGCACATGTGATATAAACTTTGGGTCTACCAAGTGCCAGAGGATTCATATTATCATATAAGAAATACACTACAAGATTAGCCCTTTTTGTCATCACATGGAAGCCCTCCATAAGCGAACTATAACTGTGAATTTGCTTTTTCTACGATACTACACATAAGTATCATCAAGTACAATTCATAAAATGGCAATCAATATAGTCGTATTACTAGCTATTATTAGTCATAAATAAGCAAAACGCAGTGAAATCTGGATGCATTTGGGTAATGATTTTTCGTGCTTGAGGCCGTTTTAGACTTCCAGAATAGCACCAAATGATTGCTCTCATCTTTCAGCAACAGTCTAACACCTTTGCTCAACTTTTTTTGGGATCGTCGAGAATCGATCAAATATCCACGAGGGATACCTCATGATTTTCATCGAAAATCAAACGAGCGCGTTTTTGACCTTGATAATGAAGACTTTTATTATGGTATATTATAAATCAAAATGTTTCTATCAATTCAACGTAACGCCTGAAATCATCGTTGTGGGACTTTGATATGCAAAATCTTGACATTTTCCTCAAAAGCCTCTTTTCGTATTTTCATAAATTGCTCAATAAGTTTATTCAAAACATCTATATTACCTGATACCATTGAATGCGCCTTGAAAATTACTCCAAAGATGCATTAGGAAGTATGGGGTAATCATCACTGTTTATATAGTCAAATCTGGCAGAATAGGTCGAATCATGTCCAAAAAGCTCCAATTTAAACAAATTAGAACAAAACGCCGAGCGAAGATAAAATTAACAATCTTGGCTGCTGGCAAGATCGAAGCCATTGTGGCAGATCAAAATTTCCTGTGCACATCAACAATAAAAATGTTTCGAATGAGCTTACTTTATATTTAGATGCAACAGAAAGATAGCGTATTGTACTTGGCAGTTAAATGCTTCAATTGAGCATGGATATCACGCATGAAATACTTGTCTACTTTCAAGTGAGGACGAATACATCTTCAAAGGTCTTGCGATCATACGCTCCAGCACCAGCATGAATATGCTTTTTCAATTTCGTCATATATCCAATGTAGCTATCCAATGCTTTGACGTAGCTGCCATTACAAATAAAATATATTGTATCTGTTTTTAGGCATCTCTGTACATTGACATACAGTGCTCTGTACAATTTGCTTACGATCTCCAAAGATACAGGATGTGTCATGTTGTAGCAGACTGCAAATTCTTTGAATCTGAGTGTAAGATCAGCAATACCAAATAAAGTGAGTCAAAAGGAGCCACTGGAGCAGATGCCATGAGGCATTCGTCTAATAGCAACTCCATCATGGAGGAAAGAGAGTGCATCAAGGCTTTGTATGGCGTTTTTGATGATAATGTCCTTGTGCCAGGCTTGTATTGTGCAATGTCTCGTTTTGAGCTCAAAGTTTTGGTATGGTATGGTATGTAGATTACAAGCTGCTTTTTTTGACAAAAGAAAGAGTGAAGGGTATTCAATAAATGTGCTTGCAGAGGGAAAGTGCATGCCACTTGTTTGAATTACTGAAATTGAGTGTCTTTTGCGAGCAGAAACAGATGCTGTGCTGTTTACATCAAACAAAGCCATGATCAGTCGTTGGATCATTGATTTAATCTCTCATTCAACAAGCACAGAGAGTTCTGTAGCTTCTCCATCAACTAGGTTAATACAACTGCAGTCTGGCACTATAGAAAAGTCTTGAATCACGACATTTCCTTGATCAGTATCTCTCTCGTTTCAATTGCCGTTGATGGACGCATGCATTTATATATATATAAAAAAAAAAAAATTTAAGCCAGCCATGAGGAAACGTTCTCTTTCTTTTCTGTAATATAAAAACATGAGTGATTCCAAAGAATTTGCAGTGCCTTCCCTTCCTGCACAAAAGAAACAAAAGGCAGAAGCACCGGTACCAGCACCACCAGCACCACCAGCACAAGAAAACGCTAAGCGATTACCGCAACCTCCACCTCTCAAATACGAGAAACCATCATGGAGTGCTCAACCAACGTACAAGTATCGACTAGAAATACTAAAGAATGGTGCTAGCTTAGAGACCATACAAGGGCCTCGTAAAGAATTTGTTACCATTGGTAGATTACCCATTTGCGATATTCCAATGGAGCATCCAGTAAGTTGTCATTGCGTGGTTGTCAATGCACTGTACGTACTCACCCTATATGAATAGTCAATATCTCGCTACCAGGCCATCATACAATTCAACCACGATGGTGATGCATACATTTACGACATGGACAGTGCGCATGGTACCAAAGTCAACAAAAACCCTATTCCTGCCAGAGAATACGTGCAATTAAAGCCAGGCGATCAGATTCGATTTGGAGAAAGTACGCGATTGTGTATTTTCGATTCAGAGAAACCATACGACCCTGAAGCAGAAGCAGAAGAGAGGCGCCAGATTGCTCTCAAGAAACGACTTGCTAAAGCGAGAGGCGAATTGCAGTCAGATCAGACAGAAAATGTGGTATCAGAAGGCATTTCATGGGGCTTTCAAGAGGATGCTAAAGAGGAAGACGACGATGAAGAGGATAATGGGGCAGAGAACAGCATACAGGACATTGAGGCCAGTCTAGATAAATCAGGAGATGCTAGTTTGTTGAGTGTCGAGGCAGAAAAAATGGCAGTGGAGGATGCCAAGCGACGAAGAGAGGATCTCAAGATCATGTATGACGATGACAGCGATGAGGAACTGTACGACAAAACATGTAAGCATCATTGTGTCTGTTTATGGTCTGATGTGCTCATCTGCTGCATAAATGCGTGTGTATATAGCCAGAAAGAAGAAGAAGGTCGAGAAAGCAGATACACACGAGGATTTAGTGAGAAAGCAAAAGCAAGCCGAAATAGACATTGCAAAGCTTACAAAGGAAATAGCGGACAAGAAGGAAGCGCAAACAAACAAAGACAGCGACGCAGCAGCAGGAGAAGAGGATTTAGATGCGTATATGAACAAGTTGACAAAGAAGCCTAGCAATGACAAATCTCTGTTTGCTTTGCAAAAGGAGTTGAATCAATTGAAAAAGGTACGTTTGCTTTTCGTGTCTATTCATCTACGGTTTATTCATATTGTTTTGCAGGATAACGACCGTTTAATCAAATTGGTCAAATTGACAAAACCCTCAGATATTCTTTAGAGCAGATCATGTTCCTTGAGATAGCTCAATGCCATCCAGCACGTTTGGACAGAGGGAAGCATCATTTCAGCTCTTGTAATAAACTTTTTGAGGTCTTTGATAGCGACATCATGTACAACTTCCATGTATTCTTCTGCATCTCTCGCCATGGGATTCTCGTCCTTGATGGGGTCTAGGCAAAGGAAGGGAATAAATCTATTTTTACCCCATTTCAATTCACTGACACCATCCTCATTATAATCAGAAGGAAGCAAATTGATCCATTGACCACCTGTTAACAGAGCCTCTTCTGAGAGTTCATGTTGAGCAGCTTGAGTGATGCTATCAAGGGCAAAATAATGAATGTAAAGCAACAGGAACAAATTAAGCGCTAATTATTACCTTGCATGCTTTCGTCTATCATATGAACCTGCTACACAAGTGTATTTCTATATATATCATTAAAGTTTAAGCTTTTTGCATAACAAAAATGTACATGAATCAACTGCAAATTACAATTTCATTAGTGCCTTGTGCATATTCCTTGAGAATACAGGTCGTTTTCTATGATTCACAATACAGTCAAAGAGATGCAGCATAAAAATCATGCAACTTTCGAGACGCCTTACTGTTTTGGTATCAAATGTAAATACAACACAAAATGTTGGTTCAGGAGTACTATGACCTACTACGTCCCACTGGATTACGCGACCATCATCAAACTCTGTTGTACGATTCCAAACAGTGATATATCTGTAATTTTCGCACAAAGCATCAAACATCTGTCTGAGCATGCGTTGTCGTGGTTACCTACCGTTTGTGCTGGACCTCTTCAGATACAATCTTGGCTGCAGTTCCCTTTGTGTTGATAGACAGTGACATTTTATATGTAATAAGGGAACAACAACAAAAAATGCGAATGCGTGTGACCAACCCACAATCAAATGAAAATAATAATTTTCTCTCCTGTTTGGATTCAAAAGGTTGGTTTTGGGCGTACAAATATTCTCTTTTCTCTCCTTTAAGCTCTTTCTTTTTCTCTCTCTCTTTCTTCCCTTTTTTTTCATTTTTATTGCTTTCTTTCTCTCGTTTTCTTTGTATTAGAACCACTCTCTCGAATCGTTTACATGTCTAAACCCATCTCAGGTGTAAGTATCCTATTTGTAATTCATACATTTGAACCTCCTTTTTTTAAAAAAAAAAAAAAAAATGACCACATGTATGTTATATAGCCTCTGTTCAATGAGGACTTTAGGAATGAGCAGCATCCACAAGATACTACAGACTTGAGCGGATGGAATCCAAGCAGAAGATCAAGTACAACCTTGCCTCATCCAGCTGAAGTTCAGCAGCAAACACGATTCAGCGATTATGCTTTTCCGCCCATTCGAAGAAACTCAGCTATTCATACATTGTTTGAAGATATCGCCTCTGTGCCAATGTTACCTGAAGTATCCGAAGAGCCCCTTTATCGTGAGCAGAGATCCATGTCCTATTCATTCACGCAAGACGACGCAAAGATGTTTAACCATCATCATCTCTTTCTGGACACAATCATGCAAGAAGATGACGAGGAGGAGGATCATCATCATCAACAACAGCAACAGCAGCAAGAGGAGAGCAAGAGAATGAGATCAAAATCGTCTGCTGCCATCATGGATATCTGGCACCCTTCTTTGAAAGAAGATGATGCCAAGAAATGGACCATAGCGAACAACATCAGTGGTAGAAGATCCTCCTTGATACCACCCTCATTGTTAGATCAAGAAGATGAGCAGATGATTGGAATTAGAGATAGAATGAGACGATTTTCTCTTGCACCGCCTTCAACGACATTTATGGAAAGTACTAATTATCACCAGCAGCAACTACTACAACAACAACAACAACAACAACAACAACAACAACACCACCACCACCAGCAGCAGCAGCAGCAGCAGCAGCAGCAGCAGCAACAGCAACAACAGCATACATTAGCATCATCATCCTTTTTCATGAATCAAAGACGACATTCACTTGCTGGGCCAGCTCATAGTACCAGCTACGCTAATAATCAGCATCCATCAGCATCCTTTCATCATCCCTCTGCCTCCATCTCCTCTTCTAGTCAGCAACTTCAACCTCACCAGGACATCGTATCTGATCTAGCTGTTCGAGAAAGACTCTCACCGCCCTCTACCAACAACATGATTATACCACAACCTAGCAACTCGGAAATGATCAAGGTAGATGACATGGGCAAAGGCACTCGACTGGATTCGGACACCCTGAATGATGCCATTTTCTATGTCGTTGAATTCAAGGGGGGCAGATCAGATGTATTCTATAGTCAAGGGACAAACCACATCAAAGAGCACGATTTGGTCCTTGTCGAAGCAGATCGAGGCAGAGATCTCGGCAAGATTACCATGGAGAACATTACTAGACAACAATTGGAGATATTCTACTCGCAATTAAAAAACAATAATAATCAGAACCCTTCGACAGAGGAAAAGAAAAAGTATTTACCCAACGAAATATATGTAAAGTGTGTGTTTAGACAAGCAAGATCAGATGAAATTACACTGTTAATGGCAAAGGGACAAGACGAGGCAAAGGCATTGATGGTGTGCCAGTCCAAGATCAAGCAAAAGAAACTCAACATGCAAGTGGTAGACGCCGAGTACCAATGGTATGGAAAAGCGAGCGTTTTTGAGCGATATGGCGATTTTGGCTGATTGACGATGATCTTACAGGGATAGACGCAAGCTTACCTTTTACTTTGTCGCTGAAAAGAGAGTTGATTTTCGAGAGCTAGTCAGAGAGCTGTTCAAATTGTACAAGACTCGAATCTGGATGTAAGTTATCGGGTGATTTTCATGGGAAGCTCGAATCTCACGCATGTTTTACAGGTGTGCTGTGAACTCCATCATACAGTTGAATAAAAATAACCTCTAGTTTTTAAACCAACGATGTTTAGTCATGATTGGTTATCGCAATAATATGTTTCTTGTGTATCGTTTTTCTTTTTCTCTTTTCTTTCCTTTTTCAATTTTTTCTTTCAATCAAGAAATCTTGCATCCTAGTTGAAAATAGCATTGATTGTACATACACACATTTACACTGACAACATCACCACACACATTACAACTGAGTCATGCAAAATTCAAGCTTTGAATCGTCGGATTCAAAGAGCAAATATTCAGAGCTCCAACTCAACGAACTGAAGAAAAAGGGCGCTTTGGACAGAACAGCAGCTGCTTTATCACCAAAGACGCCTCCTGCTGTTACAGCTGCTCTGTTATCAGATTCATTGTTTCCTCCCAGGAAGCCCAAAGCGATGATTGAAGATAGCGATGAGGAAGACAGTGATGCTGAGGACGATAAAAAGGGCAAAAAGGAGGATCCTTTAGCTACACAAGTGTGGAGATTATATACAAAGGCAAAAGACACATTGCCCAACGGTTCGAGACTGGAAAACCTGACTTGGAGAATGATGGCAATGACGCTGAACAAGAAGAAAAAAGCTGAAGCCGAAGCTGCTGAAGCCGCTGAGAAAGAGAAGATGAAATACGGGCAGCAAGATGATGAAATGGAAGAAAATACCATGTCGCCTCCTCCTCCAGATGATACAACAACGTTGCTTAGTTCCTCTGCTCCTCCGTATATGCTGGATTTCATGGGCAATGCAATGGCAAACCACCACAACACTGTATCGCACCACCAGCAACAGCAGCATCAGCATCATCATCAACAACAACAGCAGCAACAGCAGCAACAGCAGCAGTTGCAATATCAACAGCAGCAATACCACCATCAAGTGCAGCAGCTCCATGAGCAAAAGCGAAATGTGATGGTGTATGGTTCTGCCAGAGCATCGACGCCTGCTAACCTCCATATGACCAGCTTGAATAGTAATAGTAGCAGCCTTAATATTACCAACAGCAACATGAATCGACATAATAGCACCAGTAGCAATACAAGCACTGGCAACAGTACCAATGTGAGTTTTGAAGTGAAAGGGACTGAGGGAAGGTTTTAGTAACATGATTTGTATAGCAAAACATGTTTTCCAATGTATACGGTACCAACAGTATCACCATTCCTGCAGATATGGACATGTCAGAGGATTATCGTGATTCGACAATTTCACCACTGTCGACAGCTTCATCATTTCAACCATCCACATCTGTGGAGTCTACTCATTTCAATTATTTCAGTCAATCTGTACCGAGCTATCACAACAGTAACCATGGCAGCAGTATGCAAAATCACTTTCTCAATCAGCAACAGCAGCAGCAACAACAAAGTCCAACCACCTCTGGTCTGTTTCCTCAATTAGGGTCGACACTACCTGAATCTCAACAAGCTGCCTTCTTCGGATCCACACCCAATGAAAACACGCCATCTCCTGCTGCTTATTCTCCAGCACAGAGCAACAATGCCGGCGCAATGAGTTTTGAAGATCTTTTGACTATGTATTATGTAAACGGAAACACTGCTGCCGCCGCCGCTGCAGCAGCAGCTGTGGCGGTTGCTGGCACATCGCCCTCCAATGTACCTACATCTACATCAACGACTTCTAATAATGGAAATATGTTAATCAGCAAGAATTCCAACGAAGCTCCGGCCATCTCTCATTTGTCAACTAGTTTTCCACTACCCCAGTCCCAAGGTACAGAAATCAAACAATGTTGATCTATTGACCTTGTACTCATTTTGTTTCGTAGATGTACTATTGACACCCAGTGGCCATTCACCTGGTGCTGCTTCATCACTAGGTACATCGTATGGCAACAGTACTAATTCACTGTCTCGATTACACGAACAAACATCATCTTCATCGATTGGCGGATCCCCAAACAATCTCGAAACCCTGAGCTCTAGTCCGAAACAGCAAGTTAATCAAGATAAGACATTGCAAGAGGAAACTCCTCTTCATAACAAGAAAGATAACAACGCAACAAGCAGTAACACCAATACCACTGGTGGCAGTAGTAGCAGTAGTAGCGGTAGCAGCAGCAATTCCAACACAAAATGTACCAATTGTAGTACCACCACCACACCATTATGGCGTCGCAATCCCGAGGGCCAGCCCTTATGTAATGCATGTGGTCTATTCTTAAAGTTGCATGGCGTTGTTCGACCTTTAAGTCTCAAAACAGATGTGATAAAGAAGAGAAATCGTAGCGGCAACTCAAACACGACAGTGGCAACACAGAAATCGAATACAAACACAACTAGTAACAGTATGGGAATGAATATCAACGGAGGAAAGAAACCCAATCCATTTTTGCAACAGAGCCCCATGCCTACGATGGGGTCTAATCTTAACACAGCGCAAGGTATGATGTACAAGCGATCTTCTGGATCGGGAAATATGGTCAATATAGCACCTACAATCCAGCAAAGTGGAGGCGGATCGAATGGTAGACCCATCACATTTGCAACTTCTCGTTGGGGCCCTCAAACGATTACAAAACGTCAGCGAAGACATTCCATTGATGATAAAGCACAGCAATCACAGCAACAGCAACAGCAACAGCAACAGCAGCAACAGCAACAGCAGCAGCAGCAACAGCAACAGCAGACACAATTGCAACAACAACAGCAACAACAAGGCGTGTTTCGTATAGGGTCATTAGGATCAACCCAACATAGTTTCCCTCCTCCTCCCTCTTCCTCTTCATAGATTATTTCAACCACACACACACTTATAAATATAGACCAAACAATCATTTTTGACGTTGTAAATTCAACATACTTCCAAATATATACATATTATTATTAAACGGAATCAAATAAAAAGACACTTGCGACATGTAGTCGGATGACAATACCATTATTTCGGTTAATTTACAATAACCTATTATTTATACGAGTGTTTGTGCCTCGGATAGCTCTCTATCTTTGCTTCGCTTCGGTGAGAATCAACTTGCGCAGGAGCAGGCGCTACCGAGTGCACTGTCGTTATTAAATACTGCTACTTTCATTTTGGCCCTTCATTTACACATGAAAACTCTTCGTTTTATCTATGGATCTGATTCTTATGTGATGCTCTACACCCATACACGTAGCTACTTCATATATGGGTAAGCAGCATACTGGTATTTCCACTTTTTAGTCCTTAGTGTCCATAATACAACAAAATTTGAATGCATTTGAGCTGCGTTTTCTCGCGTCCAAGGTCGTTTTAGATTGTCATAATAGGACCCAAACACTTGCTCTCATCTGGCAGTTACTTCCTGATACCTTTGCTCAACTTTTTGGGGATCAAAAAAAACATGAACAAAATTCGACCAAAAAGCATGAGGTACCCCCTCATGGTTTTCATCGAAAATCAAACGATCGCGTTTTTCACCTTGAAAACGGAGACTTTTACTATGGTATATCTTGAATCAAAATGTTTCTATCGATCCAAAGCGACCTCTGAAATCATCTTTGTGGGACTTTGATATGTAAAATTTCGACATTTTGCCCAGAAACCTCTTTTCATGTTTTCATAAATCATTTGATAAGTTTATTCAAATCATCTATTTTACTTAGTACCATTGGATGCACCTTGAAAAGTACTCCAGGAAAGCTTAAGGAAGCATTTTTTTTTTGTAGGGGAGACGAGCTCCAGGTTTTGTTTAAAGTTCTTTAAATGTCATACTGAGTGATAGAAAAGACGGTTGGTGGACCCAATGTCGGTCATGATGGGGAATAAATTATGGAAAGGAAGTTGGGAAAGAAATCTACTACAAACAAGGTGCGACGCTTAAAGCCAATACAATCATGCTAAGTTGTCATACAGAGATACTGGATAAGAGAACATTCACCAAACGAGGACATCAGTACGACCGTAAATAATTAATCAAAATGCGTTCACTGGGATTTGAACCGGGATCCTCCCGTTGGCATACGGGAGTTTCTACCACTTCGCCCTACCACCAGGGACCTTGCTTAAGGAAGCATAGGGTGATCATCATATTTTACTTAGTCGAATCTGCAAAAATAGCTTAACTGAATCCAAAACCATCAAGATTTGTCCAATCTGGAACAAACTATGATTCTGGATTTGAGTTAATTTTGGCTTGTGGGGCCAGCTGGCAAACTCAACGCCCTTTTCATACTGCAATACAGTAGTAAATGCTCTTGAAGCGTATGAAAAGTAGGCGGCAGGCCATAAAGCTATCGTTTATAATGGTATTTTATTGCATTCTATATCGTTCATAATGACATCGTCTTGCATTCTATATTTAATAACGTTAGTCTGGACATTTATTGATGATTCATGGGCTGCGTAAGATGTCTGCAGTAAGTAGTGAAATCTCTGAGGCTCTGAGACGTCGTTCAAATAAAACATTGACAGCATTGAGCAGAGGAAAGAGGGTAGAACTAACAGTGGTTTTTGTTGATTGATTGTAAAATCATTATTCTCATATGAGCCAGACCTGACAGATGCCTTGAAATTCAGGTTCCATATTAGGGTTGTAAAGTGTCTAAGGACTGAACATTTATTATGTTATGATGATATTAATTCTTGATTCAGGGCAACTTCTGAAACTATGTTTGTGAGACCTTGATATATAAAATCTCGACATTTTCGCCAAAAACGTCATTTCATAATTTCATAAATTGCTCAACAAGTTCAATCAAAATATCTATTACACCCAACACAGTTGGATGCGCATTGAAAAGTTCTTCTAGATATCTTAAGGCTGTAAAGGATGATCACAACAACTTTCATAGTCGAATCTTCTAAAATAACTCGATCAAATCGCAAAAGGATCCAAAATCAACGAACCATGACAGAAAGTCGAGCGGGATTGTAATCCTTTTTGGCTGGCTAGAAGACTCCCCTTAATTCCTCAAAGCCCTATAATATAACTGTAATGATATTTACAGAAACAATTATACGAGAAAGTGAGGCTCCTTCCCAAATAGATAGTGTACGCAACATGAGACCCAAAAAGGACAGGCTGGTGACATAGGAGGAGCGTGACATGATCCAAAGCAACAGAATAGCACACAGACAAAAATAATATTGCAGGTGAAGTTTAATTCAGAAACCTCTTTCTTTTGGAAATCCCACGGCCTTGTTTGATGAATTTCGCGATGTGTACTTTACTTAGAACCCTGAAAATAGTACCATTGGATTCCTCAAGCGATTTGCTTTCTAATGATGTACATACCTTCTAATAAAATATCCTCCCTTTGACCACAAATTGGCCATTTACTTGCTTATCTCTCTTCAATTCATGTCCTTTTATTTACTTTACATGTGATTTTTTTAAAGCTCATTTTTGCTTAGCAAATGAATTATTTTGATCTTGCATGATCCGAGTACCTTCTAAAAGAGGACGATTCCTAAAAAAATGATATGAAATGTGTTGACTCTTTATGAGATGCATGCTCTTGGCATAAGAACTAAAAACAGGTTGCAGGAATGATACACGAGAATGACCAACTCACTATGTAGATGTGGGCATATTGATGATATCTAGTAGCGCAAACACTTGATTGACATCATTGACAGCAACCATGATAGCTGGAAACAAGATGACCTGCACTGGTTCGAAAACAATCCATTATGTTCCATTCCATGGAGATAGCCGCAGTAATATTCATATGATACTCTTGCTTTCCGAGATGTACACTTGTCTCTTGATCCAGAATCAACTGCACTGGCTCCAAGATGATGTAAGCAACAAGTAACCCAACCTTATCATCCTGTATTGTCCAATTAGATGGAGAGTTTATGGCGAATACAAACAACAGAAGAGATGGATTGGGAACTGTGTGATTTTGGAGAGAGAAACTAAGGGGGGGGTAGAGAAAGATTACTTAATCAAGCAACCAGCTGCATTTGTTTCAGTGTCAAATGACATTTTTTGTTTACTTTCTGATGAGGCTGAGCCCGTGAGAAGTTGTCTGTTAATTACATCTAGGAAGAGATGGGGGAACTCGTTTCATGTGAAGGTGGAAAAAGGACTTTTTGAAGTAGCAAAATGGACATAACTCGAGACAGAAAACAGTTGAAAGCCTCGGACAAAAACGATCAAATAGAGCAAGTGTCAAGCGTCAAAATGGTACTATTTTCACGCGCTCAAAGTAGTATATTGTGAAGAAAAGTAAAAGGAAACGAATTTAAGTGTGGCAAGGAGACTGGACTCACACAAAAGTCGATGAGAAGGATATAAATAGGGATTTGTTTCAACAGCTTTTCCCTCTTCTTCTTCATCTCATCTCTCTACAACAAGCAAAATACTCTATACAAGCAAACTCACTACAAGACATTTGGGCTCTCTCTCTCTACATATGGTCATCTAAATCAAATACTCTACTGTCTATTGGCCTCTACTACTGCTACATACAATGCCTTACAAATCCATGGTCCTCTCTACGTCTCTTGGTCCATGCTAGAAAAAGGCCACACTATCTTTGATACATGCAGACCTTGGTGAACTGTGCGAGTAAGTTATTATCTTGTTGGACGTATGAGCCATGTTGACTAACCTATTGATTACATAGTGCCGAAAAACTACTTTGTAGGGACTGAGTAGGATCACCGCTTCATAATCATGGGTAGACTGCGGGACAAATCCATTGGTCATGCTACGGGATGATCACAAGCTTTATTGCCGACGAGAGTAGGGTTTAACCCTATGATCCGGAGATGGAGGCGGCTTGAGCGTGTCGATGATCTTGTGATGGATGAAGCAAGTTTACACCTTGGTACCTGTTTATATAGTGTTGGTTCCTTTTATTGATGGTCAATTTTCTTTGCCCAAATGGTTTGTTACGCACTCATGCCACAGTACTTGTGTACTCATCTCATCTTTATCTAGTTACCTCTGCCATCTCATGTTCTACCTCATCTAAAGCAAGCTGTTCTCTCCAAATACTATCAAGCCAAGTTCTCTGTGCTTCCTACAAGCTCCTAAAATAACAAGACTGCTCAAATATACCATCTCTACATCTATACAAGGTCAAGCCCTACTCTCATCTGTGCTTCCTACAAGCTCCTAAAATGACAAGACTGTTCAAATATACCATCTCTACATCTATACAAGGTCAAGCCCTACTCTCATCTGTGCTTCCTCTTACTCAATCAATTATCAAGACAATTAATGCCTGACATCTATACAAGGCCAAGTCGTTCTTATATCTCTGCTACCTCTATCTATACAAATCAAAATAGCCTCAAAAATCTGAAATATTTTAATCCATCAAGTATGGTTATCTCATAAACTCAAATACACATTAATAAAAAAACAACCACGTCTTGTCATTAGCTTCAATATTATGCTTTTTTATGATTGCATCTTGTTTCAAAGCTTGCAGTGTCCATTGATTGTTATGACCAATGTATTTTAAAGCCTGTACATAATTTAGTCATATACATATAATTTAACGTCAAGAGATTTTGCTTGTATGTAATATAACATAATAAATTTATGGTCCCTAAACACTTTCAAAGTCTCAAAAAGGAAAGAAATTGATCTAACAAGTATTTTGATAGACTGGCGTTATCAAATATAAATTCAGAAAAAGCAGCATAGCTAACGATAATGCTATATAATTTGCCACCTACTTTCCATACGCTTCAAAAGTATCTATTACTGTATTGCCTTCATGATGGAAAGGGCATTGAATCTGCCAGCCGGCCGCACCAGCCTCCAAAATTGATTCAAATTCAGAACATTTTTTTCTGTTCAAGATTGGACAGAAAGTGTCTTTTTTTCGACTTGATTCAACTATTTTGTGAGATTCGACTATATAAGTTGTGAAGATCATCCTTTGCTTCCTAATACATTGCCCCTGGTGGTAGGGCGAAGTGGTAGAACTCCCGTATGCCAACGGGAGGATCCCCGGTTCAAATCCTGGTGAACGCAAGTTGTTTGATTTTTTGACGTAGTACTGATGTCCTCGTTTGGTGTTTTGTACTCTTATCCATGATCTATATTTTGACGATTTCCGCAAGACTGTACTGGCTCTAGGAGTCGCACCTTATTAGTAGTAGATTTCTCTCCCAACTTAGTTCAAAAATATCTTATTCCCCTTCATTGCAGACATTGAGTCCACCAACAGTCTTTTCTATCCCTCAGTATGACATTTAAAGGACTTTAAACAAAACCTGGAGCTTGTCTCCCCTACAAAAAAAAATGCTTCCTTAAGCTTTCCTAGAGTACTTTTCAAGGTGCATCCAATGGTACTAAGTAAAATAGATGATTTATGAAAACATGAAAAGAGGTTTCTGGCCAAAATGTCGAAATTTTACATATCAAAGTCCCACAAAGATAATTTCAGAGGTCGCTTTGGATCGATAGAAACATTTTGATTCAAGATATACCATAGTAAAAGTCTCCGTTTTCAAGGTGAAAAACGCGATCGTTTGATTTTTGATGAAAACCATGAGGGGTACCTCATGCTTTTTGGTCGAATTTTGTTTATGTTTTTTTGATCCCCAAAAAGTTGAACAAAGGTGTCAGAAAGTAACTGCCAGATGAGAGCAAGTGTTTGGGTCCTATTATGACAATCTAAAACGGCCTTGGACGCGAGAAAACGCAGCTCAAATGCACTCAAATTTTGTTGTATTATGGACACTAAGGACTAAAAAGTGGAAATACCAGTATGTTACTTGCCCGTATATGAAGCAGCTACGTGTATATGGATGTAGAGCATCTGATAAGAGTCAGATCCACAGATATTATAAAGGGTTTTCATGTGTAAGTGGAAGGTCAAAATGAAAATAGCAGTATTTTGATGAGACGAACAAGGACAGTTGGTAGCGCGAACTGCCGCTACGCAGGTTGGCTCTTATCCAAGCTAAGTAAAGGTAGAGAACCATCCGAAGCATAAACACTCGTATATATTAAAGACAATGCGTATTAGGGGTGTATCAGAAATTGGAAGTAATGTTCATCTCCTTGACGGCAGCTAAAAGTGGAATAGACGCCTTCAATGCGAACCAAAATCTTTCAATAGAGATCACCAAGTAATACTCTTCAGCATTTGTAGGGTTATTTTTCAAATTGAGCTACTTAAATAGTATCAGATTCTAAACGAGTTCCAGACTCCAGTAATTCTCTTTTCAAATGCAGCCTTTCAAGCTTGCACTATCAGGTGGCAACTTCTCATAATTCTGTCAATCAGATTTGACGTTACTTGAAAGCATGGCATCAAGAAATTTTTTCACTCTATTTACCACCGTGTTAGCACATTTGGGAGCATCTTCTCTTTTGACAGTCTCTTTAGTTTTCGTATGTGATGTGCGATAACTGAGGTATACCATGTGTATATTTTAAGCAATTCAAAGGATCACTGGGGTTATACATATAGTGAATAAGCAGGTTAATGGATCAGAAGTTTCAGGGACTACAATAGCAAAAAGTTATTATGTGTAATGCCCACAAAATGCATTTAACTTTCCTAATAATGCTTGATCTAACCTTGCCATCAAATTGTTCGAAAAGGTCTTTGTGGTAATGAACTAAACTAACAGAGATGAATGCTGTCGGAATCTTCTTTGGCAATTTTGGTTTCAACTCGTCTTTCGAATAAAGGGCTATCGTTGCTAGGGCATATCATTTCGCTATCGGCCTTGTTGTCTCCGTTGCTACATTTGACTAAAGCTTCATTCATTGCGACTAGTTTTTTGATGCTGGGTAAAAAATCTTTGATTTCTGATTTGCATTGTGGCAAGATGAAATCGAATAAGAATAAAGTAACATAGAACTTCTGGGATATGAGCACAAGCGTATACACATTGACTTTCAATCCCACGACTTGTAGCATGATGGGCGCGTTGATTTTGTGAGTATCTATCGTTGACTTGCTGAAATACACCAATTGTTACATATCCAGAATGAGAGCCCGAGTACGATTTGTGTAGTAAGGCGATTTCACCTCACCATAGGTGATATTTTCACGATACTGAGACTGAGAGATATTGGTTACGAGACAATCTGGGCGCAATACTTCCTTCTTTACGAGCTTCCTCTTGTTGGGATTCGACTCTGGGTAGCGAAGGCGGAATGTGTCATTGATGTCTTTGAGGAAGTATTTTAACCACTGGGTCCAGAAATCTAGCCTTTAGGTCACATTCGTTGAAAGCTTCAACCTCTTTATATCGAGGTAAAAACTCCAAAAGTTCTCGGACGCATCGAATTATTCTCTTGTGCCATACATCTTTTATGCTTTGTGACAATTGTTCAAGATTTGCCTCTACTTCATGGTAATCGAAACACGCCTTTTCAAATATATCATCGATGAGATTAAGTAGGTCTGTGTGTTTAGTTGTGTCGAAAGAGTAATGAGGTTGCAACAAATGTTTGTAGAGCTTGTTCAGGTTTGCTTCTCCAAAAAGGCGCAACATGTCAGTGGAGTAGAAGCCAGGCTTCAAGAACAGAATGTTTTCAAGAGCTCTACCAAAAGGGATAAGTAAGAGTACTTACACAAACAAAAACACTTACATAAGCTTGTAGAAATTTGGCTCGAGATACATGGCGTCCAATTGTGAGAGATCGCTGAGGCATTTCTTCTTATATTGCGCGAACAGACTTTGGTATACAGTATCATTGACAGCATACTTGGCATTAGTTTGAAGCTTGCTGCGAACTGCTTGGTTCAATTTTGGATTCACCATCGTGGGTAAACTATCGAAATCAACGTTTGCCTCAGCACTAAAATCCTACATCAGCACCCTCATCCATGCTATTTTATCAGACTTATTATTTGGATTAAATAATCTGTCACTGCACACATAATATGAATACAACGCTCTGCATAAAGAGCACTTTACGAACACCTACATGGAGTCGTCGTCCTTGTCGTCTTGATCAGTAGCAGAAGGAAAGAGGTCATCAACACCATCATCTTCGCAATCATTACTGGATACGGGTACATTTTCAAGCTCGCTGCGCAAACGCTTTCTTGGATAAACTGAGTTTTCTGATACGTTTTGCTGGATGGTTTGGTGTGTAGCTTGATTTATAGTTTGGGCTTTGTTCACAATTGTATTCGCTAACTGGATAGATGATGTGATGCTTTCTTGATCTGATGGAGGTCTCTTGAAATCTTCCAACAAACTCTGTGCGCGTTCTCGAAAAGACTGTTTTGGATGAGTTTTCAAGTTCTCTTAGCTCTTTTTTTCGTCGCAAGCCCGTGGTAGGATCGTTCTTTATCTGTATACTTTTTCTGAATAGCTTCAAAGATGTCCTTTATTCGCCAATCACTAGGTGATGTAGTTTCAAAGTAGTGTAATGGCATTTCATAAATTTGAGTGTTAAAGAAAATGCAAAATGTGAGTAGTTGAAGGCTGTGATGTTGGTGGATTGTAAATGCGAATTCAGGGACGAAAGAATGACCAACATTTATTGTTACGTATTTATTTTACACTCCTTTCTTGCTGAAGACCTCTTCATAAAAACATTAAAACTGAAGAAAGCTTGGTGAGCCTACCAGATGCGATATGACCATTTCTCCTCTCTTTATTGCATCATCTATTATGTATGGCCTGTTTGTACCTTGGTATTTGGTTCTAAATGGTCTAGAAGGAGGCCTTGTAAATACGTTTTACATTGCCGTCTGAATACGTTTCAGCTTCCTTGATGTGGGCATCCGATCGAGAAGTGACCAACTCGACAAGCTGCAATGGCTTGGTTGAGGGTTCCCCATACTTTGAGACAGCCTGTTCCAGCATATATAGCTATAGTGAAGGCTGTTGCTGCAAATATGTTTTGCTCAACATCTGAACACATTTCAGCTTCACTGATGCAATCAGAGTAGTTTGTGTGGCATGTCATTATTGCAATTACGAGTTTGCCGAGCCAAATGTAGTAGCTCAGTATCTATTCATTGTCAGCACCAAATTTACTTCCATTGTTGATATTCGCGTTTTTACTTTAGGTTACAAATGCCCATTGGAATACAAGTTAACAATACTCTTTGTCAAATCACTCTTAGAGTCTGAAATAGGAATCCGAGATGGCCAGCACGCAAACATACAAAGATCAAGGAGCCTCACTGTAGCTGGTCAAGAGTGAATGGGCCTGCATTTTCAGCCAAGGAAACAGTCTACGGACTCTGTCGTTGACCTCTGAGCGACAGTTTGGGGGGAGGACTTATCGAAATCAAAGATTACATGTATTTCCTTGTATTCACACTTTTCGAGCTCGTGTCTCTAAACCATACCTAAATTCACACAACTGCGATGGCCGTGTAATAAACGCTTTAATAAAAAGAAGCTGTAAATCAGAGACAACCTCAGTGGACTCTGGGTGTTTGGTACAAAGGACCCTTGGGGATTCAGAAGATCACTTCTTCGCTTCCGTGATGTTTAAGCATCTTCATTGTTTTGATATGGCTCTAATGAAATTGCTGTATGGTGCTGTATTGAGAAACAGCTGGACTTCTGTATACACGTAAAGACTTGAACGTCGACAGACGTACCTGTTCCGTGGCAGGTTTCTTATAAAATGGTCTAAGGGCAAATGCCACCAAACAAATTTGAAGTAGAAGTAGTAAAAGTTATGAACCTTGCATTTGACTCAGGTACAGCAAGAACCATCCTGATAAATGCACTTGCTGAGATACTGATCCTCCAGAAATGCGTAGCTATGGTCAGAGAGAGATGCCAATTCATTCAGGAAATGAACTTAAACTAGAATCGTGAGCCACCCAGACGTGCTAAAGACATAATAATAGTATTATCAGAAAGACAAGGCAATGACCATCATAGGCATAAATTCTTACTTGTCTGCATTTCAGATTCATTACAGGATCATAGTGCAAACAAGAGCAATGGATGAAAAAATGGTGTAGACTCTCAAAAATCCAATCCGTTGGTAATGATGTGACACATGCCCATCGCATTCAATTGTATTCTTGAAAATCATTGTAATTCATGTAAACTACACTGAACGAGGAGCTCATATAATTCAATGTGGTTGCCTACCTTTGGCTAACATGTCAGGAGATGCATATATCAACTATAATACTACCATTGCTTACTTTATTAAGCCTTTGATTGTTGCAAATTGACCGTTCAGGTGCGACATCTCGACCTCAGGTGCTCTATGCAACTCTCCACTACCTATACTAGTAGAAGCACAGACATCATTAATCTTGTCTATATGCGCGCGAGGTGAAAAGGGTTATCAGCATCATCTTGGCTAGTGATTACGTTCTATTATGGCACAAACTCGGTTTATAGTGGCGGTATCCAGCAGACAGTGTACGATTAAGACAGGCATCTCTTCTATTTCTAGCACCATTCATGTCAATGTTCTTTTTGTGAATAATGGAATTTACTACAAGGAATGCAGAGCTGAATGAGGTATGAGTGATTCTTTTCAGCATTGCTGGATTCACATCGTATATTTCACAAGTGCTTGCTAAATCAGTTAAATATTGATGCATACATTCACAAGGCGGGATTTAGAGCAGTACTTTTGTCTCCCTATATTCGATTTTAAGCACGGTAGGCAAGTTTTTTCAATAACTCTAATCTTGACGGCCGACCCCAGCGTTTGTGATTGCACAATTACCACCAGTTGTTCTCCATACGCCCCAACGCAAGTTACTGATATACATTGTTACTGGAGTGTCCATTCTGAGTATTGTTGTGCATTCTGAACACTTTTGCAAGAGAGCAACGGGGCGAGTACAACTAAACATTAGGTCTGAAATAAACAACTTTCAAGTTTCAGAGGGAGCCACATTCGCATTACGTGTTGATACAAGTAAATAACCACGAGCCAAGCGCAAAAGAACTTGCTTGTAATTGACGAGCGGCATTGGCAGTCAGCTAACAAAACTTCAATGTTGCGATGCCATTGGATCCGCTTGTTAATAGCAGGAGATAGAGCCTTGGGCAGCCAAAGGAGGTACTAGTTAGCAGATAGAGTATTCGTTTTTAATTCCTTGTGTCTGGTGACAATATTGTAATGTTCTGAGCTGACAATAGAAGCAGCCTTTGCTGCATCTTGTTCACGTTGACGAACCCAAATATGCACTCATAAAATGTGGGATGAGAGGATAATCAAATGCTTCGTCCAGCATAAGATGTGTTCGTGTTGCTATTGTTAGCAATAGATGCTTGCACTTGATGATTTGAGGACTGTTGGCTGTGTTGAAGACTTGGCAGATTGTGTTTGAGATAGACATCATTTTGCAACACGAAGATATGCAAAGTGTCAGGCATCTACTACTCTGTAAGGTTTATCATCGTTCTTAAACAGGTACTCAGTGACACTACTGTCAAAATGTATCTGTCAACGAGGACCCCTCTCGTTGCCAGCAGGCCCATCCTGCCCAATGCTACAGTTTTCTTGTATGAATTATCATCATTTGGGAATTGTGACATCCAGGGCATAGCTGTCCTCCTTCGCAAAGGAGGGAGATGCAATAAAGGGGCAAGATGAGAGGAGCTAGATAGTTCTCCTCGAATGGCAGTAATAGTATCTTGTCTCTTCAGAGGACGCTCATTCAACTCATCATCATCCACCAACACTCTCTTTTAGTGCTACGGATGCTAGCGATGGTAAAGGTGGGAGCAACAAGGCAGGCAGAACGTTGACGATTCAACTGGGACTAACCTATTGGATGGTGTTGATCCATGAGAACTAATGCTACAGATTTGAGTAAGAAGTGATTTATCAGAAATAAATTATTTATATAAAAGAGTAGGCAAATAATCAGGTAAAGAATATAGTTTATTACATTATTGGAAAAAAGAGGGTTTATATATTATTCGAATTGAGGGATTTGATGTGAGGATAAGGTATTAGATGGGTTGATTTGGGTGATAGGATAATAGATTGGATCTATTATCCTGAACATGCCATGATATGGATCGTAACTGAATCCTGCTTCATGTCAAAATTTATGATCTGATGTGATCTGTGCTTGAACTGGTTGTTCCTACGCATTTGGAGATCCGGTTTAGAAATGATACGTCAAGAAGGTCTTGAACAATACATAACTCTTAGGACCTAACTCAGGACTACGCAATGAGTATTGGTACAGGTAAGCTGGAACAGTTTCATCACATGCTTTCGTTTGAAAACCCTCAAAACATTTAAAAATCAGGTCTAATTGTGTACAAGCTATATAATAGCACCAATTACGGTATATACCTATGTTGCTACGCTGTAAAAAGTAGCTTGAGGAGAAAGTGAATGTATCCTAAGATGCATGCTTGTATGCAACAACTAAATTGCTTTCATTAAGACATGAACAGTGTCCATTCTGAAGAACATTAAAGGTGTGATTATATACTTCTATTTCCATTTGATTAAGGTTTTATTATTATAAAAGACAAAATAACGTTAGACAAATCAATAGGAAACCAACTAGCTGTAGACCTTCGCTGTTTCAGTCCTCAACCAATCAGAATGCTTGAAAACTCCGCTGACCTAAAAAAAATTTGCAAGGGTTTCCCCCTGTTTTGATGTGAGGCAAAATTTTAAGCTCCGATATACAGCAGTATAGCAGATGCCATCATCAAATTTCCCCCAGGTGCTAGAGCATGCCTTACTTACACCACCTAGCTTTTAAATTCTGGCATTGAGACTCTCAATCATCACTAAAGTAAGTAGCGATAACCAAGTGGAGGCGGCCTATCTACCTCCTAGCCTCGGATAAAGTCTTGTTGAGCTTCAGGGATAGGCACATCCACACAACGTAAAAAAGGTATGCTTCAAAGAAACATAATAATATAAGAGTATAGTAGTATGTAGGCAAAAAAAAAGAGAGGCGCTCACACGAAGCGAGTCAAAGAAAAGTGTAACAAACACATCAAAGATGTTCAAAGAAGCTCGTTGTTATTGTTGCAATAAAAATGCATACATGAGCAACGTGCATGGTAGTAATAGTCGGATGTAAAGCAACATGGCACAAATATACACAACTGCAAAAGCAACAGTGGTATTATAAGTTTGCAATACAACATAATGACTAATGCTGTTTCATGTAAAACCACAGAGGAAACACCACCAACAAAAGAAAAAGAAGAAGAAGAAGAAGAAATCGCAACAAGGCAAACATCATGAATGCATTATCACGAGAAAGGAAGTAACAATATAAACGTTCAAAGAAGGTTTATATCATTGCGACCAGAAGAAAGAAGATACTTACCACTTACCACAGCTAGAGATAAACCAGAGAACGAGCATGCACCAAAGACAGTAGACCAGGAAAGACCATATTAGCAGCAGCAACACCAGCAACAACACCAGCACCATAGTCAAACCAAAGAACGAACACCACCAACAGAGACTAGTTAAAGACCGAAGAAATTGCTTACTAAACCTATCACAGCCACGGATGGACTAGAAGAGTATAGGCAATCACCAGAGATAGACTAGAGAACTAGCATACAGCAAAGACAGTAGACCAGAAAACATCAGATTATTAACAACATCAACAACAACAGCAGTAGCAATACCAGCAGCAACAGCAACATCAGCAGCGTAGAAAACCCGAAGAACGAGTGACAGCAGAGACCAGACAAAGACTAACAAAGCAACTGCTGACAGAGATGAAGACCAAAAAAGCAGTTACCAGACATAATAAACCATAGAAGCAAACAGCAGAGATAGCAAAGAAGTAATGGTAGCAGCGCCCACGGCAAGCAGGTAAAAAAAAAATAATCGAAACCTAATAAACAAATTCGATTAGTGCTTGTTCTACGTCTTTCTG